GTGTCCCAAATTTGATGCCGAGGGGATGAGAATCTTGAAGACAGTGACAGTGAGCCCTCGGGCTACAGTGCTGTCGCAGCTTTGGTGCTTTTTCCTCCTGATTTTTCACTTGATACTTGCACTTTCAGTAGTAGTTTTAGAGTCAACAGTCTGATGCACTATGAACTGGAAAATATGGCGATTCTGTGTGGGTTCCCATGGTCCCAGCCAAGACTGGAATGTTTTACCTTCACAGCATGGACTATGGCACTTAAACTGACAGTAACGTAGATGGTGGTGGATAACGAAGGCTTTGTCGTAGAAACATTGGATTGTTTGAGTTGGAAGGGCCCCTTAAAGAGCATCTGGTCCAACTCCCCTGTAATGAACATGGACGCCTACAGCTAGATCAGGTTGCTCAGAACCCCATGTCTAAAGGGACGGGGCATCCACTGCCTCTTTGGGCACTCTGCTCCGGTGCCTCACTACCCTTAGTGTAATAAACTTCTTCCATATATCTGATCAATTTATCTGGAGGGATGGGCAAGGGCAGTGAAGAGGTAGGTGGCCAGAGGTGTCGTGTTTACTGATGGGAAGGGAAGGCACAGGAATCCTGCACCTTCCTTCTGGCTCCAAAGGAAAAGTGTTATAATGTTTACAGGCTCTTTTGCCACTAGCCATTGTTACCTGGTTTTGTCCCAGTTTCCTTTTTTTCTCAGAATGTTCTTTGGTAATATGATAAATGCTGATTTTTTAAAAAATGGAAACAGAAAACATACAGAAGAGGCTTTCATTTTTGAAAGTTAAATTACAGAAAAATAAAAGAAGAAGTGTTTTCAACTATAGACACAGATCACAATACTTCAGTACTAATTAATATTACAAGCTTATGTTTATAGTGGAAAAATTAATTGGAAGGAAAAATATTATTCCTCGTGATGTCATTAGCACTGTTGGCATTTTTCTTTCATTGTCATTTCTGAGGAAAGCTAGGAAAGCAGCAGTAGGAAAATTGTGTGTGGCAATATGGAAGCTTAATTTTACAATCTAATTTACCAAAGATATTGTAGCAGTGTTTGGCTACAATACTTAAGGGAGGAAAGAGAAATGCCTAATGTGGTAGCAGTGCGCGTAGGGAGTATCAGAAGTGCAGGGCCAGGTTCAGCCTAGTGACTCATTTCTGACCGAGCACTGGAAGCATTGCTCTGAAATGCCTTATTGGTGAGTGCCTTTGAAATTCTCTCCCTACACAGGGTCTGTTGTACTTGGGGTTTGGAACACAGAAACAAGCTCTGTGCTGCTGGCAGGGTCGGCACACTGCTGGGAGCAGCGCTCTGCGGGTTACCAGCTGCTCCCCAGCCAGGAGGAGGGCATCTCTATTTTAATCACTTGTGTTGCTCCTTTTTTTTTTATTCGTTTTGAAGGCTGCTGATACTATTTGTTATGATATTTCTTCATGATGTAATTGGTGCGCTTCAGAAAATATTACATCAGAATATCTGGTAGAATTTTTTCAAGACAGAAGTGCTGGATGCCTTCTAAGTAGCACAGGCATTGGTTACACTTTGTTTCTTTAAGCTGCTGCTTTAAGAGTCAGTAGCCCTGTTCTCCCTTTCCCACCCAAACAGGTTGGCTATGATGGTGTCTTGGGCCTTACAGCAGCTTTTGGTGACTTATTCTTGTTTCAAGCAGTTCTATTTTAGCTGAAATAGGAATTTTTTTTTCATTCTCTATAGAGAATGCTAAGTAGAAAAAAAATTTCACAATGGAAGAAGCAAATATGCTAACCACTGCTTACAGAACATATACTTGAGGGAGCTTTGCTGACATTTTGTGTACAAGTGTGGGTAGACTTGTGCTCCGTAATCACAGAATCACAGAATCGTAGGGGTTGGAAGGGACCTCCAGAGATCATCGAGTCCAACCCCCCTGCCAAAGCAGGATCCCTACACCAGGTAAATCTGCAATCATTATATTTCCTACAGACTGCAGTTTATCTTCTCAGCATGTCTTCCTATAAACTTGGACTATTGTTTTTTTATGCAATACAGTGGCTTGGGAATAATATAGGGATATCAATATTCTTAGTCTGAAATTTGAAGGTAGTGTCAAAAAAGTTGATGCAGTTCCTTCTGTTTGTCACTGAAAAAATACCATCAATACAAATATTGATGATGATCTCAGAAGATCAAATTGGATTATTGAGCAGCAGTTATGCATGTTCAAAGCAGTGTTTTACCCACCCATATTAACTTGAACTGTATGTTACGAATCTGTTGAAATGTTTGCTAACCATCATTAAGGATGGTTACAAATTTGATAATTTGTAAAAGTTGCTTGACAGCCCAGCAGTAGTAATTCCTGCTGTAAGACTGACTGCGACTATCTGAATAGTTGACAATGTTGTTTTAAAGCATTTATAAGAAGGAAAAACTGGTTCAGGATAAGCCAATTTTGTGTTTTGTTAAGAAACAAACAAAAAAAAAGAGTAAGTTTATTTTCCTGTTGAACAGCAGGAAAGTTCTTTACAGTTATTTGGCAAATGCGGAGATACCACTGAAGATAAAAAGTTTCCAGAGGGAATGGTCCATCAAGGACCAAGAATGCAGTGATCGTTTTTTTCTCAACATGTTTTTCTACAACTGATCTTCACAAAACTGTTACTTGGGACTTTTTGTTGCTGCCAGGCCCCATAATACATTTACTCACATGCTTCTAATGGGAGAAAGCCAGTGTAGAAATGCTGCCAGACTCTCTAAGTAGTCTGTGCAGCTCAGGATACCCCTCCCTGGCCCATGCTAGGAGCGGAGGAAAAGCAAAATCCTGTTCCAGAAGGCAGGAAGGCAGCAGGATGGTGGATAGGTGCTGTCAGCCCTTGGATTCTAAGAGAGGCAAGAATGGAGCAATCAGACTTGGGCATTAGATAATGTTTGGGAAACAGTTGTGGACATGACTAATGTATAGGCAATAGGAAGGCTGTAAATGGCTACACACTGATTGTGTGGTCCAGGAAATACAGCAGAGGTTATAGCAGGAAGCTCAGCCCCTCAAAACCTGCACTTTCTTAATGTCAAGATGGTATCTAGCACCATCTTAGACTGATGTAAAAGAAACCAAACAACATTTTATATATGGAAATATATGTATGTGTGTTGGTGTCTGCATTTTTCTAGATAAGCAAAAAACATTGATTAAGCTATTCTATTCATAAAAATAGAATAGTCAAAATTACGATTTTCCTGCCAACAATTATACAGTTTCATACACTTATACAGTATTTTATATTGCTTTGTGTCATATAAGGTTCCTTTATGTTGTGTTTTTTAAATATATAGTATTTGACTGGGTGTGTATAGGTACATAGTTAGAATTCATAATCTAAGTGAAAACTGGAACTTCAGGTTTTTAATCTCCAAATGATGGAAATCCCAACTATGATTGCATAGCATAACGCTCTGTGGCAATAGTTTATTTTCCCTGTGAAACTCTCACCAAAACCAGTGGTGGTGGTATTTCTTGTGACAGAACAACTTGAAATTTGATAGTGTCATGATTACCATGAGCTCCCTTTTATTTGAAGGCTTTCTCTGATATGTGCTGCATGTTATTTTTGAGGGGTAATTTTTCAGGTAAATAATCACATCTTAAATGCTTTTTTGTTTGCTTGTTTTGTTGATGTTGTTTTGTTTGTTTTATCAACTTCTTAGTAGTTCTGCTTACCATTACAATTTTGTAAAAGTGGAAGCTGATGTTTTTCACACTTAATTTCTTTTCTTATCTGTTTCTCCAATGTTCATCCATGCTGGGAACTGGAATAAATGAATCGTGTTTAACTTCCCATAAATGCAATTTAAGCAGTGAATTTGTCTGTTTATTCAGTTAGTGTAGACTGGGATCAATTTTATTTCAGTCTCACCTAAGAATTTACCCAATGTTTAAGCCTTGTGTGCATTATATATTTTGTGGTTTTAGAATAGTTACGTCTTGTTATGAGTCTTTTAAGGAGTACTTTTAGCAGTATATAAGACAAGTTTAAACATAGTTTGCAAACTTGGTTTTAAAGCCAAGGTAAATGAGGTCTTGTAATGCCACATTCCTGTGATTCTGACATCAGAGGAATATCTGCAGTAAGAAATTTCTCTGTTAAAGTGGCTGAATATTTACATACCTGAAAGAAGCAAGATTGGGATCTTGCTTGATGTGGAATAGCAGTAAGGTAACCACTGCAGACAATAACAAATGTTTACACTAGAACTCTTTCCCCCTCCCTCAGAAAATAGTGAGATGCATTTAAACCAAATTTGATTTTTGTTAAGAAAAAAAGTTTTTAAAAGGCTAAATTAAACCAGTCATTTAGTTTTCAGTGTTTTATTGTTGTTTCAAGTTGTTCAATATTCTGCTGTTGTTTTTGGAAATGCCTGTCTGGTTTACATAGTGAGAATCATCCTAAAAGTGATCTGAGCACTGACACAAATCAGAAAGAAAACAAAAGAACTTTGAAGCCCTAGCACAAAAGATCTTGCATCTAACACACCTATGGATGTTTGAATACAAAAGATTAATTATTCATTGCATTGCAACATTATTAACCTTTTATTTTACTTATTTACTGAGATTTTCATTCCAGTGTTGAAATAATAATAATAATAAATAAGGTTAAGTTTATAAGCCTGATTTGTAACAAGAAGATTGATTAAGAAATTGTTAGCTGAGCAGGAGTGCATCAGTTTCACTTTGAATGGCTGTGCTGAGCTTTTGCAAAAAGAAAGGAGATTCAGCTTTCAGTGCCTTTCTCTGGTGCCTTTTGATGGCACTGGCGGAGTAGGGAAAGCTGCAGATCATCTGGGCTTGAGATGATCTGCTCCCCTGTCATCCTTTGATTTTAAGAGGAAAAAGAGTTTAGTGCAATGTTTTATAATCAAGAGTATGTTGGGTTTTTTTCCTCATTGTAATAACATGTTTTTTTTCAGATGCGACCTTTTCAAATTTACAATTAAAGTCTTCATTCTGTTTTCTTTCAGATTCTTCTCATTCTTTTCATCGGGATGAGACGATAGTTATTGCTCTTGCATCTGTGTCTGTACTAGCTGTCTTGATTGCTGCTCTGTTCTTTGGATACAGAATGCTTGCAGGTAGAGTTGGCTGACCCTGTTTTTTAATATTGTTCTTACTGCTAATACTGTTTCTCAAAATTATGCTTATGTTTTGTTTTCTCCCCTAGTCTCTCTTCCAAGTTTGTATGTAGTGCTCCCCTTTGTCCTCTCTAGCATTTTTTTGGTGATATTCCTTTCATAGGAGTTCAGAGAGATTTATGATTCGTTTTCCAAGTTGGCATTTTGGGGCCTGCTTTTCCTCAACATATCCTCTACTCAACACACAAGTGTTGTGAACATGTTTGACAGTTACTACCAATGATATTTAATTATCAAAACAGTTGTGAAGCAGGTTGCTTTAAGTTTGTAGCTGTCAGCACCTTCGCTGATTTTACTAACTCAGAAGAATTTAGAGGATTTCTTTCTATTTACCTACATTATGTGTTAGTGCCAAGTCCAAGGCAAGTTTGCATTTTCATTTATAGTTAGGTCATAAAACCAGAAAGTGTCTGATTTCCTTCCCATCCCTTTCTGTACAGGAGACCGTAAACAAGGATTGCATAGTATGAACATGATGGAGGCAGCAGCATCAGAGCCCTCACTGGATCTGGACAATCTTAAGTTACTGGAGGTAAATGTTCAACTGTTTCTTAATTTTCTTTTTTTTTTTTTTCCAACGTAAGAAAAAAAATATGTTACAGCAGTTATATTTTGCCTGGTTTTGTTAGCAGTATTGTATTAGCTGGAGCACATTCTATCTTGAAAAGAAAATATTAAACTCTGGAAAGTGATTAATGGGAATGAGGATGAGGAGAATTTAAATGTGCTGCATTTCAGCACTGCATCAAACTCCTTTTACTCAACTCTGGTCACTTTAAGTACAATATCCTACAATAGTCACTTGAAATGCTTTAGTAACACCTATTGGAGTATAGAATTTACTGCAGATAGGGCCGTGTATTTCCATAGTAGTGCTTTTAGGTATTGTCATTAATCACAGTGGAGTACTCTCTATTTCCATGGCAACTAGGGGCCAACTAGAACCTTCCACTGAGCGAGATTAGTGTCAGATGCATCGTCAGAAACCTGAAAAATGTTATACTTTCAACTGATATATTTAGTAGAATTTGTGTAGAATTTATAAAAGCTTTTTGCTAGAAAAAATATCAGTACAGTGGCTGTGAAAGAGATAGCGAGAGGTACTTTTCTTCTTGTCGCCCATCAGAAATCACAGTCAGAGATGCTGGCTGCAGGCATGGTATCCTCACTGCAGTGTGCTCTGGGCAATAGGGAAACTAACCAGCAAAGAAACTTGGGTGGCCTCTGCCAACAAAAAGTACTGGAGGCAGAGTTCACAAGAGTTCAAAGGCACGTATTGTACAAGTGTGTAAAGCCTCAGATGAAATCACTCATACTGATAGATGGTCTTGGAAAAAGCATCAGCTTTGTTGGAGCGATCTACTGCAGGGTCTTCTGTCGTCTTTCTCAGACATTAAGGAGTTGACATCTCACTTTCAGCCATAGGGTGTCACAGAACAAATTGTCTTCACCTGTGTTTGCTCTTTCACATCTCTGGTGGAGATGTGTTTGTACCTTGAACTGACTGACTTTACAGTCCACTATGAGGATTCTCTGACATTGGAGGACTGAGAAGTGGAAAGTATTATCTGTTAAAAGATACTTCCTGCTAGACAATATTATCATTTTTAGAATCATTACGTTCTGCTTTCCTCTCCTCCATTTGTAAGTATTTCTAAAAGTTTCACATTCATGTCTGCCTGTAAACTATTTGAATGCAATAGACTTAAATTCTTATGTAGTTGGAGTGTTTTGAGCTTTGCAAACTAGGACTCTTCTTGAAGGCAGTCCAGTGCTCTGGTTTAGAGCAGAGATTGCATCTTCAGTTGCCATGGAGATGGAAAAGGCTTTTCTGTAAAGGCAGTCTAACATTGTGGGAGCTAGAATAAAGATTTACAGGTAGCACAGAGTTGATTATTCCTTCCTATTAAAACCCATTTATCTCCTTTGGAATCTGTTTTGCACTGCAAATGCATGTAGAGTCATTATTAAACTAAAATGTACAGCTCGTAAAGCTATCCTAAAAGTAAAATGTATAACTGGAGTTAATTAAAATTGATCACATAAAAGCTATAAATGTTTAGTAGTCAAAAGTTTTAATAGGAGAACTATCAGCATAATGCACATGTGGATTTATTAATGTTCTATATAAAATGGCTGAATAGGTTATTTACAATTTATTTAATGGGTATGCAGATTATAGGTCAACATAGTAATATAGATCTAAGTGGGTCTATCCTAAGATTTCCAGCTCCAAAATATCTTTTATGACAGTATTCTAATTCTGGTCTTCAGTTCAAAATATTTGCTATTTCCCACAGTGTAATTGAGTATAAAAGTTGGTATATAATCTTTGTTGAGCGAGAATCTGATTTTTGCCTTTACTTATTATTGAATGAACTAATTCTTTACTTCTTTTTTTGCAGTTGATTGGCCGGGGACGATACGGAGCAGTGTACAAAGGCTCCCTGGATGAACGCCCCGTTGCTGTGAAAGTATTTTCTTTTGCTAATCGTCAAAACTTTGTCAATGAGAGAAATATTTACAGGATTCCACTGATGGAACATGACAATATTGCCCGCTTCATTGTGGGAGATGAGAGATTCACTGCAGATGGGCGTATGGAATATTTATTGGTGATGGAATATTATCCCAATGTAAGTGCTTCAGAGAAATCAATTGGATTTGTTTAGATTCCTAAGAGTAGCCACGTAAAAAGGACATACTTCAGCCTCTGATGAATCTTGCACAGTAGTCACCTTTGACTGGTATAACGTAAAAATGATCCATATAAGGTACAATTTTAATGAACCATAGTATGGTTTGCTTTCCTGTAGTACCCTTTAAGGTTGCCCAGTTACTGCTACCAAATGTAGTCTTACGAATTCTTGGCTGTAATATTTTGCTCTTGGTTATATTGCAGTTTTTTAAAATCAGCTGTGGAATAATCAAGGGCAGTATTTGAAGAATTGTTTTTACTTAAAAAATAATCAGTAAACTTAAAACTACTTGATGTTAAAAACATTACACCTTCATCAAGGTCGTTGCAACCTCACTCTATATCTGCAAATGGCAAAGGTTTTCAACAAGAAACCATAAGGTATCCAGTGTTGTTGTTTGTGGCACTATATATTGTGAGGTGTTTTTTATACTGCTACTTTCTTTAAAGCTTCCTGTGGCATACCATGTTTGTTTTGTTATACCGTACATTGATACCGAAGAAGTCTTAAAGCAATGTTACTTTGCAGAACCGTATCTTCAGTTCTCCTGAGCTGTGTGTTACATCCCTCAGATTCATTGATCTGAGTTCAGTACTGTATGTGTGTACATGTATGTGTACATAGAACAAAAGTATGTTAAAAATGTACAGCATAAAATGTGAGCTGCTCATCATGAAAAATCATAAAATGTAACATATGAGGCATTATTTTCCTGTTGTATAGAAAAGGACTTTAACTGTTCATTTAAACCATACTCTAGTGAGCTTTTTGGTCTCAAGTAAACAAAGGCATTGTATTTATTCCAGTGTGTAAAGGTGATGACTGCAGGTTGATTTGTTATGGGAGCAGTAGGACAAAAGCAGCTTATTAAGTAGCAAAAAGAAATAGAACAGCAATAAATAGCAGTATAGTGATGGCTTCTCTCATAAGATGTTTTCAGGTTCTATATATATGTTTGAGTTGAAAGTTAAATGCATACATGTATATAAATATCTAAATATATATGCAAATTTAAGAAGACAGCGTATCATTTCACAAATATAGAAAGAGTGTCCTGACTGAAACTCTTAAAGTGAGAACACACTTGATTCTGTCAGTTTATAAGGACTGAAAATCTGAGAAGAGATTGCAGAGATGAGAAATGACCGCAGGAAAGCTCAGGCGTGTCTATATCACATGTATGACCTACTGTGACAGAGCAGGCTTACTTTCAACTAAGTTAAGTGAAGTCAAGAAAGAATTCTGTTCCTGAGAGGGCACAGCATAATTGTCTTAACAGGCGATCTGGTTTTGCTGTTTTCTTGAATGAAAGATATTTAGTTGACATGTAATTTGATTGGAAGTTGTTTTGTGTCTTCTATAAACAGGATCTGTTAACAATTTGCTTGAATGCACAGATGAGGCTTACAACATATTATCAGATACTTTCCCGATACGGTGTTGAAAACAGCAATATTAGCCTGAAATCAATCCATTGGTGGTTTGGAAGTCATTGGAAAAAGTGCACAGCAGGTGTAATTAATGCACAGTACGGTCCTTAATTCAGTGAGCAGATGTTCTGCTGTGTGCTGAGCTAACAGCAGGGAAGGAACCCCGCTGTGGAAGTGCTACTAGACTGGAATGGCGCCATTCAAGCTGTAGTCATAAAACTTGCTTCAATAAGAGGTAACCCATGCAAGACGTGCAGCTGAAGTATTCCCCATCCAAAATATCTGAGAAAAAAAATTTCCTTCTTGGAAGTGGAAATACACAAAATAGAACATTTTAACATAGAAAATTGTTTTTGGCATTGCTTGGGTGAAAGCAAGACAGATTAAATTAAACCAAACCACTATATTATCCAAACACCAGACAGATGAATGTATGGGAGCAAATAATAAAATGGGGAATATATGTGTTGGCTGATCAACACGCTGTTGTGATGCTGCAATGAGGTAGAGCAGGTAAATAAGCAGTGTGTAAGTTGCGAGGGATGAGACAGCACAGTAGATACAGAATTGTGCCCCTGGTGCTCAAACATTCATGTCTTTTTAGAACAATTGAAAAATTGTTGTACAACAGTGGAGTTTTATGGTTGTCAGAAAAAAAAAATCACTTTTATCAAAAGTCATGATCAAAACAAATATCTTCAATTTAATGCTTACACTCGTGACTCTAAAAGGAATGATCTCAAGTAAAAATCTCTCTCTCAAAATCTTAACTAAAACTTTTCCTAGTTGTCGTTTATACTGAACATCACTAAGAGCATAAAATCACAGCTCTCAGCCAGGTTAAAAATAAGTGTGGTTAGAAAGCGCTGAGATCATTATATGGTGTTTCCCACTTAGGCCACAACAGTCTCATTATCTCCATTAGAATGGGCTGGCATTAAGGATAAAGTGGAGATTTATATATCAGAAGAAGATGTGTGATCCGTATTGGACTGTGCAGTTTACCTTCATATAATTTAAGTCTATAGATAAGCAAACCATTTCATTTGTGTATTTCACATTTTACAACTTTGCCTTATCACGTGTGGACTTGAGTAAAGAGAGGACTACACCTGAGAGTTTGGCCTGGCGTAGTGACAGGAATTTTTGTGAACCTCTTGTTTTGGATTTGGGATTTATTGCTATGGTAGAACTGACAGGAAGCTATTAGGAGTCCTTCTTGTAAATAATTTCACATTTTTCTTATCATTTATGGCTTTGTAACTCACTTGTAAATGAATTTGCAGGTTGTTTTTACCAAAATCTATTTGAAGTTTGTATGACAGTATTTTAAACAGCTAAAAAAAAAAATTCTCATTGAAGTTTACAAGTGCATAGTGATGTTTGATCTCTTTTCACCAAGGAGGTTATCTGTTTATGGGTTCCTTATTCTATACAGTCTAAATCTGAAAAGCTGCAGGACTTTTGTAATTTTATTAAGGAATGTCAGTAATTGGCTTTTAGTTTCAGCACTGGATTAAAAAAATAGTCTTCGGTCATTTTAAATATTGGTCATCTGTGTGCATCCATCTGAACTGTGTGTGTATTACCTGAATACTGACTCCAAATAGACTCAAATGGCAAATACTTGCAGTTATTTTTTAACCAAATGTTACTTAACTGATCTGTCAATCAAGTGTTTTTATTTGCAGCTATGATAGTGAGATGTTACATGTTAGTGCATCTTTATGATTAAAAATTGAAACAGGCAAAAAATGGTAGACATAGTCATGAATAACCATTATAATGTGTATGCAGAGAAGGCTGGACCTCTTGTTCTTTATGCTTGGGGATTTGCTTTGTTTAAACCAAGGATATTGTTACTGAGGACGGTGCATAAAAATGCACAAAGGCATGACAGTTGTGGATCTGTCCCTTTTGTCATTTTGTCTGTGTTTCTAGAATATTTCACTGTCACAATTGACACTCTTCCTTTGTTTTTAAAATTTCACTGTGAATTATAATTATTTCCTTAAAAAAAAAACCAGCATTTTATTCATGTTTAAATTCTCCTTTAAAAAAAAAGTATGAAATTATTTTTTCCCATTTCTTCAGTGTGTGTTGACTCGCTCCTATTCTGAGCCTTCTTTGGGCTTTTTTGTTTCAATGACTGAACTAATCACAGCAGGTGAGATGCCAGTGAGAGATGTTCAGTGTTCTTCTGTAAATGCTAAAGGTTCAAAGTCCACTAATTAGTAATCCCTGTTATGTCTGCAGGTACCCTTCTCCTTCTGTTGTTCAGTAACAGCTTTATAAGAATAAAAGAAATTAGTATTTTGCTTTTGTTTGTAATACTTTACTCATAAAGGCAATATTTATTATTACGTATGTTAAATTTTCTTTTCAGTTTCCTTACATAAACTGAATGGCACCACTAAAAACTAATGACACTTTGATCCAATCTTGTGTTTTATAACATCTGGGTAAACACAGAAGCAGTTGCAGGAATATGACTTTCAAGAGCAATGGATAAAAATATCCTTCTCCAAGATTTTGACTTGATTATTCATTTTGCTACTTGGTAATTATTTTAATCTAGTATTTGTTATTTCATTTTTGATAGGGTTCACTGTGCAAATATCTGAGTCTCCACACAAGTGACTGGGTGAGCTCTTGCCGGCTGGCACATTCTATAACCAGGGGCTTGGCGTACCTGCACACAGAGCTACCTCGGGGAGGTAAGGCCAAGAAGGGATGCCAGAGTGTTCAACATGTTGCCATTTCTGTCAGGTAGAAGGTTGCTGCCTTTGTTTTTCATCTGTGACAGTATAGTGAGTGGGAAATGTTTAATACAAATACAGATTCCTCACAACTTCTGATATGCTTTTCCTTTTGAGCAATTCCCTGTCATGGGCTGTGCCAGTGACACTTGCACGAAAACAGGGAGTAAGAGCCAGCGGTGTCCCAGAGACAGACAAGAAGAGGAGGCAGAGCTGTGCAGTGCTGCTGTATCATGGCAACAGATTACTGGAGACCTGAAGCACTGGGTGTCTGTCTAATAGAGAGTGAGCAGATGGAGTGTTCTGTTTGTTTACTGCAGTTCCGACACAAACCAGCAAAGCAATTTTGTGTGTGAACTGTATACGTGAAAAATAACTACATTTCTTAGCTCCACTGTAGTTTTATCATATCTCTTGATTTTTGTTGAAGGGCGAGATCCCATTCTTCTTTGTGTATAAAGAATATTGCTAGATTTTTTAGTGATTTATTAGAGCACTGGATCTGACAACATGTTGGTATATCTATTTTATCTCTGCTCATTTGCTTCTGCCCACCATTTCAGCTAGTGAAGTATCACAATTATATAACAGATATTCTGTGCTATAACAGGCTGCAGAATGTGGCCTGGCATTGAAGCATTAGCTTTTTGGCAATAAATAAAAAGATGGCAATATTAATTCTAAATGAAGGTGCTAATGTTGAGATTAAAGTCCTAAACCATGTATCTCAAATGTTGAGAGTGGAAACCAATGATACTGTTAAAAGTGCAAGGTTGAAAATACCTAAATCAGTATTCCCGCGTGTGATTGAAACTGCAGCTATCATCTTAACATCATCGTTGAGAAATGTGCAGACAAGTGTGTCCATTAGCAGCCAGAAAATGTGTAAACCTTTTATCATAAAGGAGAGACGGCCATTGACTGAACTGTATGAGCTAGGAAGGAGCTCATGGAGTAGAAGTAGAATAAACTGCATAGTTAAACTGGTTCTGTAGTGCTTGTTGTTTTACTAAATAAATTGCATATAAATGTGGAACAACTGAGATTACTCTTTGGAAAAGATAAAATCCCTTGCAGGAATAACACGTACGGATTCTCTGGAATAATATTGTCTACATATCTTCTGAATTGGTGCCAATCCCAATTATAATTTCAGTAGCTGGTATTGAACTTAACAGGGGACTGTGCATATGAGAGAGGACGTTTGGAATAGCTGTCAGGGCTGTGGCAGCGGGTCTGTGCTTAAGTACATAATGTCTTCCCTGCCAAAATCATGCTGCAGTATGCTTTGGAAAGAAGCTTACTGGCAAACACTAAACCTGTATGTAATGGTAACCCAGTATAATGTTTAAAGACAGTGAAGCTATGAGTGCCAGTCAGTTTTCTGTAGATAGCATACTGCAGAGCTCATTATAAAGAAGCAAATATACTAGCTTTCTACAAGATAAGTTGATTTTCTGTTTATAATAGGTGAGCAGACTTAATGAGGTTCTCTCATTTTGCCAAACAGTAGAACTGCTCAAATAATAACAAGCACTTTCATATGTCCAAATAGACCATTACAAACCTGCAATATCTCATCGTGACTTGAACAGCCGCAATGTACTGGTAAAGAATGATGGAACATGTGTAATTAGTGATTTTGGGCTCTCCATGAAGTTAACTGGAAACAGACTGGTGCGCCCAGGCGAGGAAGATAATGCAGCCATTAGTGAGGTAAGTACAAATAAAGATAAGCCAGCATATAAAGGATGAAAAATTAGTATGGTAGTAACATTGAGAAACAGTTGTTATAAGATGAATATTATGGTGGTACAATTCTTTTGATGGAGAATTGCTGCAGTAGGGAGGCAGCCTTGCAGGTGGAAGCTTTGTATATGAGAGATGATATATGCAAGGTGGGTATGGTTGCAGAGGTTACAAAGATGTGGGTGCAAGCCATGTGAGTCTTGTACTGCAAACATTACCTAAGCCCAAACAGTCTTTGGGAACTGAGGTAGTTAAATTTTTCTTTCTTCTCCCCACCGCCCCCCTTCCATGTCCTACAACCACTTATTTCTCTGTGTGTCATCTGTAATTTGGTGGACTTGAAATAGATACAACAGGGAAAATAAACGTGTGTAGAAAGGCATGGAGCAATTGAGAACGAACCAGAACAGAATAATGGGAGAAGCTTGAAAGAGTAACCTATGAGAAAAGATTGAAATAATTGAAGTTGTTTAGTCTAGCGAAGTAAAGATGGAAGCAAGTCTTCAAATATGTAAACAAGTGCTACAAAGAGAAAGGAACAAACTGTTTGCATTCAGCTTGGATAGGAAGAAAGGTAATGGGATTATTTTGTAGGTGGGAAAGTTTAGGTTAGTTGTGAAGAAACCTTTTGAATCTGCAGAATTCAGGGACTGCCAGGGAAGACTATAGAATTTGCATCCTGTGATTTTAAGAAACACATTGGAAGAACATCTGCTAGGAATGGGTTAGAGTGGTTTCTGGGCAGAAAGAGGAAACTGAGTTCTTAAGCTTTGTTTTCAATGATGCAATGATTCAGAAAGTGCTTGCTTTTTCTTACTTTTTTAATAAGTGTAAATGTGCAGACATCTGAAAACAGGTTACTCAAAAAATAGTTTAAACGAAGCCCCCTACTGCCTTAGGATAATTGTCATCTGTGCTTTTACATCTTTACATTTCATTCACAGAATGTTTCACAGTGCTAATCAGCATTGTTTAGAAAGTAAGTGTTACAGTAATAATACCTAGTGCACAAATGCTTTTTTTAGGTGTCCTTTTGTTGAATAGAGGAATGGGGAAACCCCCATTTAAAATACAGGGATGTGCAATAGTCCTTAGACAAAATACTGTCACATAGGGACTGACGAATGACCGCTCTAATCTAACATATGTTTTAGTAAGACTAGGCCACCGATAAGAGTAGCAGCTGAGGGCACTGATTAGAAGAGAATTGCATTTTCCATCTTAACTTCTAGAAAACATTGAAGTATATTAAAAACAAGACACACACACGCACACGTATGCACCAAAAAGAAATTGCTAAAGAACTCAAAATAAAAAATGGAATTTGGAAATTACTTCTTGATTTAAAACTTTGATTTTGACTTTCCAGGTCGGTACGATCCGCTATATGGCCCCAGAAGTGCTTGAAGGAGCAGTGAACTTAAGGGACTGTGAATCTGCTTTGAAACAAGTAGATATGTATGCACTAGGCCTCATCTACTGGGAGATATTTATGCGATGTACAGACCTCTTCCCAGGTAACTAAAAGAACTAGAAGAAATAATAATAGAAGAAATGTTAGTCCCTAGTCATGGCTTTTTAAAGTGAAGAAGGAAAATAATTTATCATTTGTTTTTTGCTGTTAAGCCGGTGCCATCTAGCGTTTGAGATGGTTATTGTTAGCAATACAGTATGTTAGTGGGGCAACGAGGATCATGCTGACAGACTTCAGATTGCCTGTTAAAGCATTTTGCAGGCCACATGGCAGTGCTGTTTGAGCACTGTTGTTATTGTCCAGAGCTCACAAACACTGGTAGTTGGGTTGATGGCACAGACAGTACTTTCAGTACTTACACTTGATGATATAGTGCCCAATGTATCTTTCAGACCTTCCTCATGAACGAGTGCGTGGAAAAGTACTGTAATTTAATGTGATGTTTAGCCATTCATACTTTTATTTGTGATAGTGACATGAAAAATTCAAGTAACTTGAATCTTGTAAAATAAAGCCAGAGGAAATAAACACACAAAAAAAGTATAGTGACTGCCATCTTCTTCCTGAGCTATAGCATAAAGAGTTCATCTGACATGCAGTATTCCCTCTGTAGTTAAACAGCTGCACAGTACATGCAGTGGCTTGTAGTCTGTCTGGATTTCCTCCCGAAGTATGCTTAATGTTGACATTTCACAGACATTAGGTGTCATCCTCGGGCTCCAGGACATTCTGAAGATGCCCCTCAGTCAGTAAAATTTGAAAATGTTTTGAGAGGTTTTCAAACAAGACTTAATTCATTTGTGATTAATTCAGTGTTTCTGGGGAGAGGAAGGGAAGCAGAAGAGTGTGGATTTGAGGGTGGAGTCAGAGAGTCAGAATATCTTGATAGGCAACAACTTTGATGCTACCTTTCATTGCTTGAAAGCCCTTGCCCTGCCTTCCCCTCCCCCCCCCAAATCTGTGACTTTGTTCATTCTTTCTTGTGCTAACAGGGGAATCTGTGCCAGAGTACCAGATGGCTTTCCAGACAGAAGTCGGAAACCATCCCACTTTTGAAGATATGCAAGTCTTGGTGTCCAGGGAAAAGCAAAGACCAAAATTCCCAGAAGCATGGAAAGAGAACAGCCTGGTGAGATAGTACTAAGTACTATGTACTAATAAACAATCGAGCTGGCTATACGGTGGTATCATTTCTTAAAAACAATTTTTGTATTTGCATCAAGTGCCCACATATTCTCTGGATGCTGGATGAGAAATATTTTATGCCTTTTGAAATCTTACGGACTAGTAGCATACTTAGTAGGCAAAATATAATCCTCCAATACTGAAATTTCATAAGCATTTTTAATAAACTGTTTCTGAAGAAGTATAGTCTTCAGAATTTGTAGTGGCTACAGTTTATAGCAGTTATAACTACATTAAAAAATTTATGTGGCTTCATTTGATCTACAGTTTTTATTTGCAAAAGTAAAAGCATGATAATGCTGTTTGTTGTTTCAATTTGTATTGCTATGGCTTAGAGCCTTGCTTGCTGCTGCAGGCTGACAAGTTACTGCAAGTCAGCTGCACTCTGGTAAGAGTCTGTGTGCTTGTTTTCATCTGCAGCAAAGGTGAGGTAATTGTGACCCCCCTTAGCATTGTGGGGGTTGTTTCTTTTATTACAAGCGAAGTGAAATGTCAACAGTTTCTGGGTTCTACCTGATAACATGATGGATTATTTAAGCAAGCATGGAAATTGACATATTTGACTCATCTAAAAAGATAGTTTTAGGAATTCACTTTCTGTGAAATTAAGCCTTTTAATCTTCAGAGACTTTGCTAGTTGATAAGTGTGTAGCTACTGTGCAGATAATGGGGAGCCTAAGGCCTCTGCTGGTACTTGTAAATATGTATGAAACCATTTTCAGAGAGGAGCATAGCCTCTGGTATTACAGTGCTATAAAACGTGTTGCAACTGAGTTGGGAGTTTCATAGAGGGCTTCTCTTACTGCACAGTTTGGGCCAGTCTTAACAAAAGATGAAAAATAAAAATCCACACCCAAACTATATAGCAAATCAAGCAGCAACTGTTTTAACTACAGCCATGTTAGCAAATGTGGTGTTGGAAGAACCTGAGCTTGATAGCTATTTTTTAAGACAGTTGAACCAAGCATTTTAAGGTTTGTTTTGTTTTTCAGGCTGCCATTTTAAATGCCAATTGTGTTCTTATAAATTGATAGATTCCAGTATTAGTAGATACTGACCTAGTATTATGATCCCTGTATTTAAACTGTTTACCACATTCTTTGTGGTGTTACTAACATTTTTTTAACAATCCAAAATAATAATAAAATAATGTTCAGCTTTAAGGATGGATGTAGATCATCACTTTACAAGAGAATAAATAAAAAACAGTAACCTGTAGTTCACTAATAGGTATTAAAAAACAAGCTCCACCCCATGCTAGTCTAGGATAACATCTCAGTAAACACTCTAGAAGAGATGTCTTAGAAAAATAATCTCACTCTGGACCCAGGACCTTACCTCCTGTACCTTACATGCAAGATAAAAGGCTTCTCTCCATTATTTAAAACTGTGTTGATATGTTAGATTAAAACACTTTCACTTTAATGCGTATTGATCTATTAGAGAAATGTGTATACTCTCTTCATTTTAGAAATACAAATAAAAAAATTGTTTAGGTCACATAATTAAGGCATTCTAAAGATGTGGAATCCCCATTTTATGATTACTTATGCAATCTCAGTCTGCTTCTTGAACATTTGTTATGACATAGACCTTGACTAGTGGTATTTTTTTTCACGGTATGAATCAACAATTTGAGCAGATGATGTGCATAAAATAATCTCAGGGCTATAAAGTGAGTTGGGATGTTACCAGCATTTCTGTTTTACTTGCCAAGCCCAAACTAGGGACTACGCTTGATTTCAAATGTTGCAGTGGAAAGATATTAGTAGAATAAGAACAATGCAACTTGCTATCTTTCATCTTTTTTATGAATTGTAGGATTTCTCAATCATGAATTTTAAAGATCCCTTTGAACCTGAAATTAATAGAAAATACATTACTATGATAATTGTGAAGCTTTAGAACTTCAGTCTTGTTAACTATCTGTACTATGTTGTCTGTGATAACTATCTGTCATCACTGTGTTCCTTTCAGTATCCTTCAACACTAAAAGAAAAAGATTTGCTGGATGAGAGTCTAGTAAATTTAATAATGATTAGATTTGCAGCTGGTGAAACCTGTAGGGGAGAGCTTTACACAGGGGCAAGAAAGGAGATTAGAGTGTCCACTAATTTAAAGATGGAACAAGATTGCAATTAAATGAAATACTAAAAACTGATTGAAGCCTTTTATTTTTGTAGAGAAAACATATTCAGTATTCTATCCTGACATTGTCCCTGGTGGTGTTTTCAAACTTGCGTCCCTCAGCTGCAACTGGTTTAACTGCTTAGCCTCTCTGATTGACTGTGGGAAGGGAGTTAGAAGATTTCCTTGTGTGGGAGCTCATCCCCACCTGTGCAGTCATAGCTACATCACTGAGCAGCAGTGACTTGCCAGATGCAAGTGATGCCAGAAGCCTGCTCTGTGGGCGAGGAGCTCTTCACTAGCAGGCAGAGCCACTCCTGGCTTTTCCTGCCAGAACCAAACAAGGCAGTTCTGGCACAGAAACAATCAGCAGGCCCCACTGAATGCTTTAGTGCCCAGCTGGGACTGTTCACAGTCACTGGTGCTGGAAAGATTAAAGCTGAGCTGAGATGTGAGGCATTCTGGCAAATGGTGGCCCGTCAATGGGCAGCAGGGACCCATAAATGTCTGCCTATTCTCTGTGCTCAGTATCTGTAGAAGTACAAATGTTCAGTGCTCATAATTTCAGTTGTCTACTCTCCAGGTCTTTGACCATATGGCAGCATTTGATGGTCTTGAACTCTAATCGTGACTGCCCCATTCATCCCACAGTGTGATTCCAGGAAAGTGTGTCTGTTTCCATTTCTCCATCTGTTAAACAAGGGCAGCAATAATCTCTCATAGTGCAGACAAATTCACTGATATTTATGAGGTATTTGAACGTTACATTAGTGGGTAGAAAATGAAAAGCCCAATGAACTGGACAGGGCTGTGTCAGTTGCATACAGTGCTGGGCAGTAAAGCAGGGACCATTAGCTGAATTGGGAAGACGCCAATGATGGGGTTTCCAGAGCCACCATCAATCCTTTGTACAGAACTTTCATAAAGCAGGTAGAATGTGCACATGTACAACAGCAAGGGCAGGCTGAAGGTTGCATGAACAACTCTAATTTTTCCTAAATAATTATTTTTCCAGCTTGTGCATATGAGGTATGATAGTAACAACAGTGGTACAGGACTAATACTAGCATAAACTAGCATTGAGAAAAATTTGTGTGTCTTCCATTTCTTTTTCTCGGGCAACTTGTGACTCTTTTCATCCATGCACAACGCTGTCATAGAACAGTAAATTAGAAGCACAATATAAACAGAAAATAATTTAAGAAAATGTGGTTTTGTTTGTCTGTCTCCCGGCAGGCTGTGAGGTCACTTAAAGAAACAATCGAAGACTGTTGGGATCAAGATGCTGAAGCTCGATTAACTGCCCAATGTGCTGAGGAGAGAATGGCAGAACTCATGATGATTTGGGAGAGAAATAAATCAGTTAGTCCAACAGTCAATCCAATGTCAACTGCCATGCAAAATGAGCGGTAAGAAGAGAAAAAATTGATTTTAGTCAGGCATGAATGTCCAATGCTTAGCTCACTCCAGGAAGGAAGCTAGAGCATACCATTCACTTAATGTTTCTGCGTAATGTTTAAACGTGTTTTGGGAGCTAGTCTGCATATGGGTTTTGTGTAAGATCCTGATTGTTTTATACTGCATGAATTCACAAAATAATCATTTTTATGGCATTGGATTCTTACAATCGACAGAATTCAGGCACCTTATATGTAAACAATTGTTTTTATCACAGTGAGGCCTGTTAAGCTGAGTTTAGACAAACTATCCAAACAAGCTTAAAAAGACATGAAGTGACTAAGAATTAAAGATTCTTTACTAAGTGATGTGTTGAACTTCTGTTTAAAATGTTCTGCTGTAAGCTATGAGTGTTCAGGTAGTAAGAGTTCAGGAAATCACCAAGACTCGAATTTATAGCTGTTCAGCTTAAGAACTACAGAGCCCTTGTTAAAATCATTGTTATTCTGGCCCAGTGAGAGAGGTGATGGACACATCCCTTCTCTGATTATAAATGATGCAAGAGTGAGAATTTGCAGAACTGACATTAGTACTAAAATAATACACACCAGAGATCTGGATTTGAAAGCAGGGTAGCGTTGACACGCTGTCATGAAAAATTTCCTTTTAAAGCATGGAACACCTAAATTGTTAAAATTATTATACATTTTTCATGGTTTAGGAGCTTGTGACTCTTTCTTAGCATCATTTTCTGCATCCTATGCTCTTGAGTATAGTTCTTGAGTATAGTTCTTGTTCTTCTTCATCATCACTTCTCTGCGACTAGAACAGTACCTTATCAGTGAACTGTACAAATACAAGCATTGGACAAGTAGAAGAAAATTACTGTTATGTGATTTACGTGTATAAATAATATTTGTGACAAAAATGCTGTCCTAATAAAATGGTGTTCTGCTTCCCAGGATTTTTCAAAGAGGATCTCAGTTTTTTTATTGTATCTGTCCATAGTTTATGCATGAAAAGAAATAGACATTCCGCTCTTTTAAATTAGAGGCTTTGTAATATAAAGCAATATTTACATATATGATCTTAATATCACTTATTTTTTTCTTAAAGGAACCTGTCACATCATAGACGAGTGTCAAAAATAAGGCCATATCCAGATTACTCTTCTTCTTCCTACATTGAAGATTCAATCCACCACACTGACAGCATAGTGAAGAACATTTCATCTGAACATTCAATGTCCACTACACCGCTGACTTCAGGGGAAAAGAATAGAAACTCCATTAACTATGAGCGGCAACAAGCACAAGCTCGCATCCCTAGTCCTGAGACAAGTGTCACCAGTTTGTCCACCAATACTACTACCACCAATACAACTGGCCTCACTCCTAGCACTGGCATGACCACCATATCTGAAATACCTTATTCAGATGAAACAAACTTACATACTACAAACGTCATGCAGCCAGGTGGGCCCACGCCAGTTTGTCTGCAGCTAACAGAGGAGGATCTAGAGACAAATAAACTGGATCCAAAAGAAGTAGATAAGAACCTGAAAGAAAGTTCTGATGAGAATCTGATGGAACATTCACTCAAGCAGTTTAGTGGACCAGATCCACTCAGCAGCACTAGTTCCAGCTTGCTTTATCCACTGATAAAACTTGCAGTGGAGGTGACAGGACAACAGGATTTCACACAAACTAGCAATGGTCAAGCATGTTTGATTCCAGATGTCCCATCTGCTCAGGTCTATCCTTTACCCAAGCAACAGAACCTTCCGAAGAGGCCTACTAGCCTTCCTCTGAACACCAAAAATTCAACAAAGGAGCCACGGTTAAAATTTGGTGGCAAGCACAAATCAAACTTGAAGCAAGTTGAAACAGGCGTTGCCAAGATGAACACTATCAATGCCGCAGAACCTCATGTGGTGACCGTTACCATGAATGGAGTGGCTGGTAGAAGCCACAGCATAAACTCTCATACTGGCACGACCCAGTATGCCAATGGGGCAGTGCCGTCTGGCCAGACAGCCAGTTCAGTAGCACAGAGGGCCCAGGAAATGCTTCAGAACCAGTTCAGTGGAGAGGACAGTCGTCTGAATATTAATTCAAGCCCTGATGAGCATGAACCCTTGTTGAGGCGGGAGCAACAGGTTGGCCATGATGAAGGTGTTCTGGACCGCCTAGTAGACAGGAGAGAGCGACAACTTGATAATGGCCGAACAAACGTTAATAACAATAACAGTAATCCGTGTCCAGTGCAAGACACAGCTACTCTCACTATCCAGAACGTAGCCAGAAATCCTGGGCAGACTCAGACTAGAAGAGCACAGAGGCCTAATTCGCTGGATCTATCTGCCACAAATAGTTTGGATAGCAGTAGTATGCAGTGTAAGTGCCAGCAGAACTTGAACAAGTTTCCCTGATGCATTTTTTTGCTGAATAACTATGTATATCTGCTTGAAAATACTTCTGTGTCCCCTTTCGCTCCTTAAAGTGTGCTTACTAATCTCATATAAATTCAATTTCTATCAGAACTATTTCAGTCTTCTCAATAAAGTCCTGCATTCTGTTCTCATCAGCTCCATAATGTTTTAGGTCACTATCTTCTTTCTGCATACATGGAAAAAATCTGTCCCTTTCTATTCTGTCTACTTTGATTCGGGGAAGGGAGCAATTTCTACTCTTGATATTTGTTGTGAGGCGTCTACCTTGGCCATGGCAAAGGTTATTTAAATGTCTACTGTTTCTTCCTTCAGGGACACATTGTGTCTTCTTTTCCATATTTTTCATCATTCATAAGAGTAACTGGCCCTAAGATGCATTGATTAAAATTATTTTTATTATACACTTATGATATAACTTCAAACTTTTAAAGCAATTGATATTGCTGTATTAGTCCAGCCTAGATGGGCAGTCAGGCATTCTCCAGCTTGCTATCTGAGCTTCAACAGATAAAGCAGTCCTTTGTCAGTTTACCATGTACATATTAAAAAATAACTGAAGTAGTTAGAGAATGAATTTTAGTAGACACCCTCAGAAAAACTGCCTTAGATTTTTAAGCCTAAAATTGTAAGAGGTTACAATGAGAATCTCCTTATCACAATAAGAATGCAGTTATAGTTATGGTTGAGTATATAGAATGAGTTTCTTTGGAGTCCATGGGTATTGGAGAGACTTCCTAGATAACATGCTCCAGAATACACTGTCATCATCAAAAGATACTTGCAAACTTCTGACTATGTTTAGGTAGAGGCTGTCATACTAGCAAATTAACCTGGGGTGCCAGGCATTGCATGCTTGGAAGGAAAAAGTTTATAAATGAGCTAGAACAGATCTTTCAAGAAATGTAGTTGAGTATTCAGCAATTGAATGTTTAAGCTTTCCTTTTAAGTAGGAAACCTTATTTTTTGTCTTTACTCATTAACTTGAATTGAAATTTTATTGAATTAAAAAAAAAAAAAAAAAGAAGATTGCAGTAACTTTCTTTAATTGAAAGTTAAGAAGAAAATAAAGTATTTGAAGGTTAAGATCAGATTTCTACTGCTGAATTTCTGTTGTGTTTGAAGTTGACAAGCGTTTTTTCCAGTTTTGCAGTGCAACATCCCAAATCCTGATTTAGGATCCTAACAGAGAAAATAGACTGTTAGCCTCCTGGTAAAGGCCTGAGCTTTGCCTGGGGTTTTGTATGCAAAAACTGCTTTGCGAGACCAAGCAGGATTAGGGGATCTGTGATTTAATTGTGCTATTAAATGTTTGCCGTCCTGTAGTAGCTATATTTTTTTTCTTTGTACCTTCCATTACAGGTAATGTAAGATACTATGATTGCAAAAATGCTGATTCTGCTGTTTGATGCCAATGTGCATTCAAGGTAACACAAATTACTTCACTGAAGTAATTTCTGACAGAGAACAGAATCTAGCCCCTTGTTTTAGTGACAGCACTATCTGCTGCCATGTCTGCCATACAGTTGCTTAACTTAGTAGGATTTTCTGCTTTTTCTTCTGTTCTGCATGAGTAACAACCCTGGACTGTCCAGTCTATTCTTTCCTGTAATACTATTTTTCTGCTTTTTGTTATTGTTGTTCAGTAGGTGACTCCTCACAGGACAGCAAATCGGGCTCAGGAGAAAAGATCAAGAAACGTGTGAAAACTCCTTACTCGCTGAAGCGATGGCGTCCTTCGACATGGGTCATCTCCACTGAGCCGCTGCACTGCGAGGTCAACAATAACGGCGGTGACCGGGCAGTGCACTCCAAATCCAGCACTGCTGTTTACCTTGCGGAAGGAGGCACTGCCACCACAATGGTATCTAAGGACGCAGGAGTGAACTGCCTGTGAAATACTTTAAAAGCCGACAAATGACTTTTTTCTTTTCTTTTTTTTTTTTTTTTCATTATTTGAAACAAACATACAGAAGACATTTTAAAAAACTGCTTTCTCCTCCTGTCAGCAACCCCTATCAAGGACTCGCTTTAAATAGATTTCAGCTATGCAGAAAATTTTTAGCTTATGCTTCCATATTTTTTTATTTTGATTTATTTTTTGAACATTTTTGCACTTTTATTTAGTATCGCTAAAGTTAAGTCTGTCTGTTTTGACCACGGAATATATATATGTGTATCAAAAATGTGGTCTCAAAATATTTTTTTAAAAAAACAAAAAAAGGTATTGCTGATAATCAGTTTGGACCAGTTTCTTAAGGTCACTAAGATCATAAGCAGACTATAAGACAGGTTTGACTGCGGTGGTGTCTTGTAACCATGTTTTGATTTCTGTGCGCAAGCTAGTCTGTATATTTCTATGTTACAAAGTGTATTCTCTTTTTCTCTCCATTTTTCTTGTGTCATGTTGAAATGTGCAATAGTCTATAGTTCACAGTATGCTTTATTGAAAAAGTGTTTTTAAAACTGCCACATGTTCCTGTTTTTGTCTTTATGTTTTCCCTGACAGTTGAGCAGTCAGCCAGTTGTGACAATGAACTTTGCACACCGTAGCCAGCTCAAAGCTGCTGCCTATATTGCATCGTGCTCTGAGGTGACAATGTATGAACTTTCCCCAGCTTGAAAGGGCTCTTTAAAAGGAACAAAAATTGAGTTCAGTACCTTTCCTCTGATCCTTCTCAAGTGAGTTTTGTTAATGGTGGTAGATGCCCGCCTGTCAAGTTCTGAGTAACCAGTTGTTGAACAAATGTAAGGAAACAATGTCAGCCAATTTTGTACTTTATTTTGTGTACAGTTTCACCCTTTGTATTTATGTAAAACCAGATCAGTAGTAGTCTACGTTGAAAAATGCAACTCAAACAGAAACCTAAGTAACTGTCATACTTTAAGAGCTTTAGTGAAGATAGGTTGTGAACATATTTTATTAACAAAGAGGAACAAGTATGAATCTTGTTTGGCACAAATCTTTTCTGACTGAACACCTTCCAGACAGTCTGGGTAAGATCAGCCTGATGACCTACGCAGGTAGGTGCATCCTGACTGGTTGCTGTTGCTGAGCTGAAACGTTTCCTCCCTTCAGGTTTTCAAAGCCCTTCATTCATCTTGGTAGAATCTACTGCATGCTTTTAAAATTCATGGGTAGGAATGTTTGGGGGGGGGAGGGGAAGGTTTTCTTTTTTCTGGTTAAACACTTTGTTCAGTTTGTATGTAACACTCCACACATTGATTTTAGCTGTCAGTGAATGTGAATCTAATATGTATTGAGATTTATTTTTTCCACCATCTTATATAGATCTTACTTCTTCTTATAATAATCATTTTTACTGTCTGCTGAAAGCAAACTAATTTCCTTACTGGCCAGGCCTTCCTTTCACTTCAGAATTATTCATCCACCTGAGAAGTACTCTGATGGAAAACACTTCAGTAAAAACCGTTTAAATTAAATATAAATATTTGTGTGTCTGTGTGTAACACATGTCAGTCTTTGGTAATGAGATCAAGTTTTACGTCAGAAAACTGGTGATGTTCAAAAAATAAAATAAATTCTATGCAGCCATCCTGTCAAACTCCTATGGTAGGATACTGGCAGCAATCACTTGCCTCTCCCAACCTATCTTCTTCTGGCAGTCAGAAACAGATGCTCTGTGCTCTCAAGCTTGTTTGTTTCCTTGCTAGTGTATTATTTTTCCCCATGAGGTAAAATTGCCAGCTCTGTTTTGTACATCTGATATAACTGGTATAATATATACCTTGCTACGTCTGATTCTTGCTATTTCTCAAACTCTTGGTTTGATTTTCTGATTTTATGATTTTCTCCTTCAGTGGTTACTAAATGTTTCTTATATTCTTGTACATGTCTCCAAGAGATAGCTCTAAATCCAAATTTTTGATTCAGTGTAGTTGTGGAAATACAAGCTATGAGGTATAGTTCAGGCTCCCTGTGCTCTTCAAGCATCAGCTTGAATAATAACTCTGAGGTGCAGTTCTGTTATCATGATGTATAAATATATAGCTGTACTTTCCCTCTCCAGAAAATACAGCCTTTCTCTGGTTTTACTTTTAATTCACTCCCCTGCTTCCCATCTGCTACAAGCTTGCATCCCAGATGTTGAAAACCTGCCAGTTGCTCAGCTGGGTTTCAGTACCTCAATCAGAATTTCTGGCATTCTGTTCATAATATTGGCCACGTTTTTCATCTCTTTTGGACTTCTTCAAATCTACATTTGATGTACAGTATGTTGTCTTGTGATGATTACTATATCATGCATATTGAAGACTCTTCACTCATTTTCCAGTGACTTTCTGGTTTGCCTTACATATGCATCATCCATCAGCATTTCAGAATGTGAGCTGAAAAGCATATTTAGGACACTTACCTAACTTGACAGACTCTGGGGATAGAAAAGTTATTTGCTTTGATTAGTTCTTTCTGCTAAGACAGGTTTGCTGTGAAGTTCTAGCCTTTCTTTTCAGACCAATCCTTTGTAAGAAACCCAACTTCTCTTATGCTTAATGCAATCAAAATAATTTTGATACCAGGTGAAGATTCTTGTGCAGTTTTTGTTGAACGTTTTTGAAGCATGCATAAAAATTTCATTTCCTTTATCTTTTTTCTGTCACTTCCTGGAAAACCTTTTGGGGATGAATTTTAATTAGTAAAAGGTATTGGATTTGTAACCTACCATGGATAAATATTATTTGTAGCACAACAGAAATATGTACTTTATCACAAAATATCCTATAGATTACATAGAGAAAAAGTATTTATTTGTAAAGGTCAGTCAAAACAAACTCTTAAGTGCACAACAAAATATTGTAATTCTGCACAGCTAGATGAGATCAGATTATTAGTTTGTTTTTAATGCTTATTTTATTAATGTCCTATTTTATTTTATTTTTTACTCACAGTGCATAATCCAGTCTCCGCAGAATACTTTCTCTGTAAATTAAATGATATTGAATTTCATCTCGTGTCCTGGGAAATCATCCTTAACCAAATAAAATACATGTAAGAGAGAATTCTACAGATCAGACACGTGGATAGGTGGTAAATGTACTGCAATCAAGGGACACAAAAGGTTCTGTTTGTTTGTGTTTTAGGATAATGATGACAGTTGATAATATTCTATCAACATCTCATGTATATTGCAGACAAGTTAAAAGTAGAAAAAATGAAAAAAAGGATAGTGTAAATACCTATGAGTTGTGCCACTGTCAAATAGGCAACAGTAGAATATATGCTATGGTAATTTATAATGTATAATTCAAGTAAAATGTTACAGCAAACACTTGTGATGTTTGTATATATAACCAAAATCCAAAAGCTTATTGGTTTTTTTAAAAAATGACATGTTAGTAGAAGTTAAATGAGTTAGTTAGGTTAATGCAATATCTCTTTTTCTGTTTCCTATGTTTCCACACCAATATTACATGGTTTTTAGAATGTGAATTCTAACCATTTGAACAGACATGCAAGCATAGTATTCTAAATTGGACATTTGCAAGTAAAGTTATCTGAAACATTTCCCTGACTTTGCTTATAAAGCTTGATAGTTTCATGTGCTAAACATTTATCGTGTCTTTCTTATAACTCTGAGATGCACTTAAATTGCACAGCTAAAAGATAAAGAAATTCCTGGTTTTAAAGGAAGACCAGTTAATATCATCATGTTTAGAATATTCTCTGAGATTTGTTAAGAAATGTTTAGAAATTCTCTGACATTTGTTCTATATTATGCTTTCTTACCATTATTCATGTCAGTCTTGTTTCCATTTACAAAATAATCTCATTTCCATAGGCAATCAAGATGATTTTTGTTTTCAGTACAGGGTACAAAAAGCAATACAAAATGGATGCTGTCAGGTTTCTGGAAAAAAAAAATCAAACAAAAACCCTTATAAATCTGCTTAAGAAGTGTGTATCTTTCCATCTATCAACTTAATTCTGCTTACCTCAGAAAGGAAAATAAGGATGTCCTGTATTTGTTTGGAATGGATTATTGGGCAAAATTTAACAATAATGAATTGCTGTGTAGAAAATACATATACAGTGTACACCAGTATATGCCATAATTTCAGTATTCAGTCATCCTTTATTTTGCTTTTCTTATATCTCTGAAGTATTTATATGTGTTTAAAACAGCAACAGAAGTCCACTAATATAATACTGCTAAGTCAATGTTCAGGTGATAATTTTCTTCCTTTAAAAAATATTCAAAAGATCATAGCCATTCTGCCACTGAAACATAATAATGGAAAGTTCCAGCCTAGATAAGGATTTTTTTTTTTTAATTCACATTGCAGTTAATATGGGAAAAATTGTATCATGCTGTAGTTTTTACTTATATGAAAATGATAAAGTTCTCAATGCTGAAAATTAGCTTTTTTAAGTCATAAAAATAATAATTACCTAGTACAGTAGTATATGCATGACCTAGTGTATATGAAATTTGGAGCAGCTTACTAAAGAAGATTGAAATAGGTTTGATTAGTCTATGAAAGTTGGACTATAGAGTGGATGACTTTGTATTTTGCATAAATTTGCATTATTTGAACTTTTCTCTCCATCTCTCAGTATTCATTTTGCCAGGTAAATATATTAACCTCTTTTTTTTTTTTTTTTTAATGTACTTACTAATCTTTGTTCAACTTTATTCCTTTCTTCAAAGAAAAATCTATTGCAGTGGAGCCAAATATATATATTTTTATGTAAACTCTGTATGTACTTAGATACATATGTATGTCATGCAGAAATTCTAGGATTAACTTCTGTGAGTTACGGCATCAGATGGTAGAATTGGTAGCAAGTATAATGGTCTTCTTCGGATATCATTCTTATATAGTCTTTATAATAAAATTGGGCTCAGACTGTGACATAATCCGGCAGTGTAAGATACCCCGTGACATGCTTGTCACTTTGTCACTGATTTAAGGTTTCTCCTTTCAAGTTGGGAAAAAAAAAATACCCTCAGCATTGTTAATCCATTATAATTTTTACAAGGCTTTTTTATGCAGTAGCTGCTGTAGTGAAGTATGTGGTCACCCTTTGATTGTGGGGGGGAGATTTAGGACATTAAATCCGATTGCATTTTAGGCTTCTATGTTGTCCTAGAAAAACTCAAGCTGTAGATGTGCATCCATTTCATTTTTTTTATTTATTCTTTTCCCCTAATTATGTTCAGTTTTGATGTGAAATAGTGAGAAATCAGATCTCTCATTTTTAGGTTTATTTTGTACTGACTAAAACTGGTGTTGGAACTTCCACTTCTGCAGACGAGATTTAGGCACTCCTTTGAATAAAAAATGGGAGACCCATTTGGCACAAACTTATCCCGGGAAGTCAACGTATCACAAACACGGATGCCACAAACAAGCTGGTGCTTGAGCCAAATGCTATTGAAATGAAAGAGGTGTCTGCCATTAGTTAGGAGCAAAGAAGAGCTGGCGCTGGTTTGAAAACTGAAGATTAGCTGTGGGAAAGCCAGTGTGCAATGCTGGGCCTCGTGGGCTAACCCTGACTGTTGGGATTCTGAGGGCTGCTACCTGGTGACTTGGCTCAGTCTTCCACACCAGGTCAGTACCAGTTCAGCTATGGTTACTGCTGAGGAATGGACTACGCCAGTGGGAGGGGCAGTGCCAGGTTTTCAGGTAAATCCTCATTCACACCAAACCCCTTTGATGTTCATCTGGGCTTAATGCAGGTCTGATCTAGTGGCTGTTACGGTGTGTTAGTAATATGGAATTACTTTTTATGGCCAATTCTATTTATTTCACTGTAGTTTAATTACATATGAGCATAACAGTCAAGAACTAATTGGAGTTATGCTAATTTATAGTGTAGTAGTCAGATTGTTTTAAAAGCCCTACTAATCAGTAATTGTGTGAAGTTGCAGGTCGTTCAGTTGGTTAACTTCAGTGCACAGGTCACACCCTACTGTCACAGCAAGGAAGGATTTCTTCAAAGCTCTTGCAGGCTTCTGCAGATAGATTACATCTGTCAGGACCACAGATCTTGTCTGGTAACTATTTTAAAGCAAAAATAACTACCTTTATAATTTATTCGTTTTTAGATCTCCCAAAAGTTAATTTTTGTAAATCATTCACTAGTTTTTAAAGCAACAAAAATGCGTGAGGCTTGTATTTCTAGAGCACTTGATTCACTTTTTTTCTTTTGTGCTTCAGAACTGTATCATGAAGTATCACACTTCCATCTTGTTTATTCAAATGGAAAGAAAATCATAGATGTTTCTGTAATCTTTAGGTCAAAGGAACACAAAGAAACAGGCAAATCCATGTTATTGCTGACTTTCATTGGTTGCTTTTGAATTTCTTGATTTTTGTGACTCCTCTTTCACAATGTTGAAATGTATTTAAAAAGGTTTGTCTATAATGTTTCTTGTCTGCTTTTTGTCTCTAGAGAAGAGTATGCTCTATTCACATTTATATAAGCTGGAATCATACTTTACAATTGCTGTTGATTATTTTTCCCCCAAATGCAGAGGAAAATGAACACAGCAAAAACCAATTTCTAGGGTTTGGTCTTCTGTAGAAGCTGAAATAAGGATATGTGAAACTGACATTTTCCTTATGACAGGTGGTAAAGAGAGCATTAATTTCTGAGCGAGCTTTTCTGGGGAAGGGGGGAGAAACCCTAGAATATGGAGTCTCATCAGAACCCTTTTGTTAACGGGTATTTTTGTTTTTTCTCTCAAATGATTGAGTAAATATCATGTATGAATTTATAAATAATTGCTTTCAGTTATTTCTTTTGTATAAGCTGCCCAGTACCCTTGCTATGCTGTATAAGTTGTGTTTCATGGAACAGTGTGAGTATGAAATAAAAGCTAATTTTTGTTTTTTTAATCATCTGTGGATGCCACTATGAAAGCTGACATTGTTAAAGCCACTACAGAGTTTTCTATGAATACTTGTAAGAATTGCTTTGTTATATATAAACCTAAATAAAGAGATTGTATTGATACAGAGACATTGGATAAGAACATTTAAAAGGCTATTCTTTAGGTCTAAAAGAAAAGGCTTGCTGTAAAATGGTGCATTATTCCATTTATTAAAGATCATATTAATGACAAAAAGCATAGTCTTTTGTGGGTTTTTGTGATGTTACTGGCCATGAGTAATAAGACACACTCCCAAGAGGAGTGGAACTGTTGCAGTTCTGTTTTGTTGGTAGAAGGATGAGGAACTACTTCATTACTGAGAGCTGAACAAGACTTTGGGATACCGTGGGCATGTGACAGATGGTACTTTGCACTGTTATCAGATGACTGTGAAATAACCAAAGCTTGCCTTTGCTACATTAATGCAGCGTCTCTGCTTGCTGTTTTGACCATTCTCACTGGTCAGCAGTTAAGATGCTTGCATTGGCAACTAAATAGCATTTGGATGCATTTCAGAGTGCTGCATCAGGCATCTTGCACCTTACAGTATGGTGAGACCTCACTGGCTTTAGCTCTTCCTGTTACACGTAGATTGGTGGGGCCCATCCTGCACACCTCGGTTGCTTTGGTGTTTACATTTCCTTACTTAATTCTTGTCAATTTATTTTTCTGTACCTACAGTGATAATGATTTTTGCAAGCAAACGAGACGGTGTTGCAAGTTCGACACTTCTTTGGCCAGAGGACTACCTCCAAAATGCAAATGAAAGAGACGGCATGAAATAGCTTTCTTGCCATTGTAAAGAAGGATGAAGCAATGAACTGAGGCAAGTAGTGCATGGGTTGAACTCCTGCCTACACTGCAAATGAACACAGTATCACAAATGAATTCAGAAACCCCTGGCTATAGGGAGGGACCATTACAAGCTTCACCTCTCCTGGAAGCAGGAAGCAGTCTCAGCCTCCCACGGTGTTCCAGGCTGGATCTGCAGCTCCCCGGGGGGTTTCTGCATCAAAAGGATTAGCAGATTAGAACAGTTATTGACAAGGGGAAGGTCCCTCCTTGAAAGACAGCACTCTGCTTGCATGCACTGACTTGCTCTTGGCTCAAGATAACTGAGCGATCCCAGATCACAGGAGAAGAGAGGCTAGCAAACCAGATTTTATTACCCACATTTAAAGCTTTAAAGACAGGCTCACAAGGCTCTTTTTTTTATCCAGATGTCTCGGTGACAGCGATGGGAGCTTGAGCTCTCTTAAGTCCTCTCAGAGTGAGCTCCAAGAAATTGACACTTTCCCATCAGGCTGTAGTCAGGAAGAGTCATTGTAGGCCGGGGCCACCTGGAGCTCTCATATGCTGGGAAGCACGCACAGCTCATTTCCTGTTGCAGGCAGGCCCCTTCCCTCTCCTTCTGGCACAAGGGAGATGCTGGTGGCAGCTCTACAGCAAGTCAGGGGGGATGCTGATTGTCAGCAAAACCAGGAATTGTGTGCCTGTTTTACCTTTGCTAGTACCCTGGAAGGCTCGGCTGTTGCTCTCAAGAAACGCTGGGAACCTGTGTGTGGGGCAGCTGTGTGGAAAGTAGTAGATGCCCCCCACCCCCTCAGCTATTATCACTCCATGTAGACAGCAAGAGCAGCCAAGTCCTGCCCTAACCCAGCAGGTGTGGCTGAGTCTTATCCTCGGGGCATCTGAGAACCCTTGAGTCAGCTCTGCAATAACAACGTGTTACTGGTGAATTTTACTGATATATTTTTTACCGGGTGTGTGAGCTATTCAGTGCTGAGAAATATTCTCCTCAGAGATTTCCCTGCGGGACCTCATGTGCACACTTGAGCCAGCTCTCTCCTGCAAAAATAACCACTTTCATTCAGCTTTTGCTTTGCTGCTGGGAAATGAAAGTAAAACAACAATAATTATATTCTCCTTTGTTCCAGAGCGGCGATGCAGCTGCTGAATGTACTTTGTGGAACACTGCCACATCAGTCTTTCACTTGTTTCCATTCAGGTTCCCCCTCCCCACTTACTTCTTGCTAATTCTGATGTTATGTAAATTCTCTGTGTGCAAGAGATTATAGACATCTGCTCTCTGGCATGATTCAAAGCACATTCTATTGGATAAGAAGGTTAATTTTACATGGATGGGAAAACTCCAGCATAACAAAATATTTGCATGTGTATAAAAATCACCTTTTCATATTAGCCCAAAAGGTTGTCATTTTCCTTTAGTGAGTTAAAATGTTTTAATTTCTGGAATTTAAATGGTACTCTTAGGCCTACGTTTATGTCAGAGGATGATCTCTTCAGTTCCCAGTACCATAGAGAAAGTTTGGGAGAGATGCACAAATGTAGACCTGAGTGGCTAACTCTGCCTGTATGCAGCTGGTAGGCTCTGGGGCAGCCCTGTCTGAAGGGAGGGGGCCGTGGAAGATGATTAAGGAAAGCATGTCTCTATTTACTGGGCAGCATCTGAGTAAGCAGCATTTCTAGATGGCAGCATTTCTAGATGGGGGGATCCCAGGAGCACGGGGCAAAATTCAAGGAAGCAAATAATGATAAAGCCTGGAAACAACAGATCTAGATGCATTCCAGTGCCTGATGAGAAGGGCAGTATCTTCCTAAGGCAGCTCATCACAGCCCAAGCACATTTTTAGAATGAGCACAGAAAACTTATATGGAGCTTGTCTGATTTTGGCTGCGTGTTGGATGAGGGGCTACTAGCTGCATTGGGACATGGAACTTTATCTAGCTTTGCTTTATTTTCATCTTCTCAAAGACTATATTCTCTCTCTGGCCGTCCTTGAGGCTAAGTCAGGCTGAATGCAAGGTGTGATGCATGAGGATGGGATAGCACGACAGAGACAAACTGATAGATGTGACCAGCTAATTAAAAGCTCCCATATTCCTTTGGGCTCAATGCAAGGAGGCTTCAGAGCACCACTTGATCCTTGTTCTCTGAATAGGTATTTTCCCAATTCAGAGAGTCCCATGCCCCCACCCCATCATACACTCTGCTAAAGTAAATTAAACGAGTTTAACAGCAAGGTTACTATATGTATATGGAGAGAGAAGTCATGTTATTTCATCTCTCCTTCTTAGTGAACCAATAAGCCATGCTGCTAGAATGCTTTTCACAACTTCCTGGGCTTTTATAAATGCTATGAAAACAAACAGAAGCAAAACAAGTTCGTAGACACGAATGAGAAGAACCTTTCTCTCTTTTAGGTTCTCTTAAGTGAGTAGCATTTATAGATCTGTGCCTATTAATCACATACACGGGATGTTTATCATTCTGTAATATGGCCGTAAAACATTCATTACTGAAATGTTTCCATTTATCTGGTTAATTGATAATTTTGACAATTGAGATAAATACTAATAGTAACACATTATACTCACAGTATAGAAATTTTGTCTGTGGCTTGTGAGAGTAGTGTTCGATATTATTAGGCCAAGAGTTTTCTTCTACAGTTCATATGCACTGTTCTGCCTGTGGACTAGAAATACAGTTCTGTATTATACAGAAATGTATAATACAAATGCACACAAACCTTTGTATTATTTTGCAAGCTCTGTGATTTTGTGCTATAAATAATAAGGTTTTGGAGCATACTTTTTAAAGAACTGCCACCTAAAAGGAAGGAAATCTTTGTTGTTGGAAGGAAGGAGTTATATGCAACATACTATTTTAATCCCAGTGAGGGATTGACACCTCACCATATTGCTTTTCTTAAAGAGTGTAACCTTATAACATGTGGCATGTGTATTTTGCTTTGAGTTGCCTTTTACTTACTACATGAAGCTTGACTTTATGTCCTAGACCCCATCTGTTGTTTTTATTGTTTTAATCTTAATACCTTATTTTCAATCTGCCTGCTTTCCCAGATCCCCCCAAATATTCTGCAGTATTAAGTGGAATCTTAAAGGCTTTGTGAGAAGCAAATTCCATTATATTTGTCCTACCTCAAAATGTTTTTTTCCCATGTTGCTGTTGAACTCTCAGACAAACAAAGCTAACCCACTCTGCAGGGGAGAGATGGGAAATGCAGCAAAATATCCTGGGGCATAATTTACTGTTTAGATTAGACTCCTGGAGTCTTTAATCTTTCAACCCTCAACATTACTTGCAACTACTGTAGCTATAACAATTATAGGCAGAAGAGCTCTCCTTTACGTGTGCTGCCTTGCATTTATTTAATTGCAGAATAAGACAAGAACACTACTTGGAGTGCATTCATTTTCCATCAGGTTTGCTCATTACTGATATTTTTAACAGTAGGTTTTTCATATACATTATTATGAGCAGTGAGTGATTCTACTTATAAACCTTTGGTCCTCAGGACAACAAGATTCCTTAAGTATTAGTTTTCTTTAAAGAGAGTACATTGGGACTGGGGCTTATGAACTCAGTTATACCACCCCGGCCTTTGTTTGACTGATGAAAGGGCTGGTTTGGGAGATGATGGAAGAAGGCTCATAGCCTTTGTGACAATCATTTTCATTTGTTTTTTATTTGGATCCCTGTTGGCACCATCACAACAGGTGTTCTGGGCAGGGTAAGAGCCACTGATGGGACGAATGCACAGCCTACAGGTGCTGCATGCAGTTGAATGAAATGTGTGGAGCGGAGCCTGGGCACCATCCAGCAGGTCAGAATGTGGGAAGCAGTGTGACAGCTGGGACAAATCCAGCTGTGGGGAGATGTGCACTGCCAGCAGGGAGGGAGGTTTGTGTCCAAACCACTGCGGGGGGGGCATTACTTTGACTTTTGTGTTATTAAGAAGAATGTTTCTGAACTACTCGCAAGTAATTCGTAATACTGCTTTAGCTGTTTCTTTTATTTCCATAGGGTGTAGGAGTAAGATCCTGTTGCAACACATTCGTTAGTTCAGGCAAATGAATGTATGAAGCACACAGTTTGATTAGCTCTGAGTACACGATTTTACATGTTTAATGTTCTTCTTTAAAGCACGCAAAGCAACACGGCTGCTGAGGAGCAGCACATGTAAATGCTTTGCTTTATACAGAACTGTGCATGGCAGTGCCATGTTTGCAGTTGAGACAAGAATGCAGGAAGCGCTGTAATTGTCACAAATACTGTGACTTGGATCCAAAAAGCACATCATACAAAAAAGATACAAATCAATACTTTTCATTTTTTGCCTCTTTGAAACAGTAACAGGAATTAGAATTTGTTCATTATATTTTACGCCTTAAGAATATCTTTATGGCATGTCGCTTCCAAACAAGTCTCGTATTTCTGGAGAGGATAAATAACCCAAGGAATGAAAACCTGCTGAGCAACTGCACTGGCAGTGGGTGATGGCACAGCGGGAAGAACGGCGAAGAGAAGTACATTTTCTGCTCTAGATGGAAAATTGCAACAATAAAGCTAAGTATACATAGGTTAACCTGTAGCCCAGGACAGTTCTCAACGCTGAACACAGCTGTGAGGCCAACTTTGGCTAACCCTTCTATATTGTCTATATTGCCATTATGTAGCCTGTGAGCAAGCATCATGAGCTTTGAACAAAGTTTATTTATTCCATTGCAGGAGAGCTGACTAGCTTCATCGCAACCTCGTCCAGTCACACATCGACCCTGTTCCCTTCTGCCAGTCTGATTTCCCATTGCAAAAACTGGCTGCCACTCCCAAGGCTTGTAGTAGACCTGTGCCCAAGCACTGTTACAAAGGGCCTGCACACACCAGCTTGCTTTTCAGGCTTGTTAAGTGTCAGCTCCACGAATGGAGCTCTGCAACGGGGAATGGGGCTTTTCAGTGAAGGGGGCTTCAATCAGAAATAGCACCAGAGAGAGGAGAAATACCACCTGCCCGAGGGAGAGCAGCACGTAATTTGTTGTCACATCATTTGTGTCATGGCAGTGGTACTCAACTGCAGCACCTTGCAGAGCAATATTGGCGAGAACTTGGCGTTTGGTTCAGGACAGTCCTCCTGAGTCGCACAGGACCGGCACCAAAGAAGAGAACTGATGGATTCCTTCGTGGCCTACAGGTGCTGAGGGCCGCTCGCCTCGCATCTAAGGGATTCAGCGTACGAGCAGCAGCTGACACAAAGCTGCATTCTCTTCGCCGAAGGACACATCAGGCTAAGAGAATGCCCGCAGCCACCCGCTACCTTTAAAATGCCGAGGAGAAGGCACAACGAATCCGACGAAGAGCAGTAAACACAGCGATTAAGGCGAAGGAGGGCCAAGTCTGCCCGGATATTACCCACATATCAGTAGCGCTAAGCTGGTGGCGAGGCGATTGGATAAGCCGCCGCTGAGCCCTCGCCCTTCCCAGCGCCGCGCTGGCAGCCTCCCGCTGCCGCGCAACCGCCTCCCGGGACGAGCTCCCGCTCGCGGGCCGCCGTTCCCCGCCGGGTCGCGGGCTCCCCGCGCGACGGCTCTCCCCGCGGGGCCCGGAGCCGCCGCGCCGCCCCCGCCGCCCGGCCCGCGGGGATCGCCCGCAGCCGCAGCCCCGCGGCACGTGCCGGGGCGGCGCGGGGCCGCGTGTCGCTTTAAGCGCGGCCCTCTCCCGCTCCCCGCGCAGGCCCGGCCGCTCCGCAGCGCGCCCCGCAGCCAATGGGCGCGCCGTAACTGCGCGAGCCGAGCGGCGGCGCGGCCAATGGGAGCGCTCGCGGGGCGGGCGGGGCGGGGCGGGCGGCCGGGGCACTATTGTTGATGAGGCGCACGGCGGCGCGGCGGGCAGCGTGCGGAGCTCGGGGCCGGGCGCGAGCAGGAGCGCGGCACGGCGCGGCGGCCGCCCGAGGCGTCGGATCCCCGCGAGGACCCGCCCGCTGCCCCGCGCCCTTCTCTCGGCTTCCCGCCGCCGGCCCCGGCGGACGATGTCCCACCAGCGCGTGCGGCGCGGCGGCTCCCCGACCCCCGCCGCCTCCCCCGGGGGAGGGGGCGCGGCGGCGGCGGGCGGCGGAGCGGGAGCGGGCGGCCGTCTCCAGCCCATGCGGGCCACGGTGCCCTTCCAGCTCAAGCAGCAGCAGCAACATGGCAGCCCCACGAGGAGCGGCGCCAGCGCCCCGGGCGGGGGTCTCGCGCGCGCGGCGGCCGCCTCGCGCAGCATCAGCCCCACGCGCGCGGCGCCCGCCGGCGGGCGGGCCGGCCCCGCCGCGGCCACGCAGACGCCGGGGGGAGGCGGCAGCCCCACGCGCGGCGGCGGGGCCCGGGGCAGCCCCCCGCGGCCGCACCAGCTGCCGCCGCCGCCGCCGCCTCCCCCCCCGCCGCCGCCCCCGCCGGCCGCCTGCGGGCCCTCGCCGTGCTCCTCGCCGCTGCCGGAGGGCAGCTCCGCGGCGGGCAGGGTCCGGCACCCGCGGCGCTCCCCGGAGCGAGGCAGGAGCTCGCCGGAGAGAAAGAGTCCCGGCTCGCCGGGCCGCAAAGGTGAGCGCTGCCCGGGCGCCTGGCGGCCGCTGCCTGAGGGGGCGGGGGGCGCGCGGCCGTTCCTGAGGGGCTCTGGAGGAGCCGAAGCTGCGGCGGCCGTTGCGTGAGGTCGGCGGGGGCGCTGAGAAACGCGCGCAACCTTTCGTTCGCGTGCCTTTCCCTTCGTTGCTCTTCCTTCGTCTAAAATCACGTTTATGGCCAGACTGTGTATTTCCCATCCTGGCCCCTGAGGAGGAGCGCTGCCACATTACCCGGTCGTAATCGCTTGGTGCCGTGCTTCAGCAAAGCAGGCGTTAGCTTTATTTTGCTTTCTTTTCAGATGTTCTTCTTCGATGCGTTTTGGGGAAGCAGGTATATGGTAGAGAGCGGTGCCACAGAGGCGTTTAGGATCTCCAGCTTTGCAGATAGGATTTGCTTTACTGAAGGTTGCATTCCGAGGCTCTGGATTGAAGAATGTCTGTATTCTCCATTGGAGACTCTTGCTAATCATTAATCTTCCTGGAAACGTTATTGAAGCCCTCATCAGAGGCGCAGTCTCCTGACCTGGAAATCGAGGAGGAGGGCGGCCGCTCCTGACAGCCAGGTTCAAAAGTGCGTCAGGCTGCCGAGGGTGTGGAAGCCGTACTGTCTGCAGGTCAGGCGTCAGGGCTGCTGGAGCTGTGCTGCTTAGTGAACTTCTTTAGCAGGTCTGAGAATTAGCTTATAGAAAGAAACCGGGTAACTTCATCACCGGCGTGCTCGCAGAACTCCTGGCTTCTTACAAGATGTGCAGAGACTGATGAGTGGTGTCTGTTTACTTTCTGCCACCTCTGAGCAGTGCTCACGTGGACCCAAAATGCAAATTGACTCTGGTTCATACTGCTTAATATTTGTCTTGCGTAGTCCAGTGTTTGACAGCCACTGAGCCAGCTTCACTTTCCTCACCTAGCTGAGAAAACGTAGCAGCAGGCAGGAATGTGGAAGTGGAACTTTCAGTTTTGTGTGAGGCTGGAGTTGTGAAGTTGTGCAGGACGCTGCAGGGTAACATTCAGAACCTACTACTGAATAACAGGTTTTCCTGCTTCTTGTTTTCAGTTTTCGGTGGCTTCTGTTTGTTCTTATAGCTGCAGCCATGTTGTGGTTTTGGGTTAGTGTTTTTGTTTGTTTCTTTAGATTGAAAGGAACCTTAAGGTTAGATGAATGGTAGCTGCTTCTGAACTTCGCTACTGATTCTGCAGATTGTACACTTCAGGCTCAACTTCATGGTTTTCAGGTGTTCTTTTCTAGTAAGCAGTTGAATAATTTTGAACTGGGATTTTTTTTTCATCCTCTTTAATACATAGAAACTCCAAGTTAGACATAGCAATGTGGATTTAACAGGTTCTTTCTCTGGGTGTCTGTTTTCTGGTTTGGTTTGTTTGCTTTAGATCTAGGTATTCTAACCCATTCTAACCCAAGCAGAATTGCAACTAGACGTTTAAAATACTTAAATGAATTTGCTATTGATGATGGGATAACTATAAGCTGGAGGTTTGTTAGCACATTCCATACGTTTCTGTGTTTTTCTTCCTGCTTCCTCCCAAGGTAAGGCCAAGAGTTTAGATCTTCTCACAACGCGTTTTTTTTTCTTCTGATATTCTCTCCCTGCTGTCTCCAGCACTGATTACACAGGCTTTGGCTTCTGCTTCCATATTAATAAATGTTGAGTTTGTGCTGTCATTCCTGTCACCTGCGTGATGACTGACTCTTTTACCTCATTCCTATGCTGCTGGGTGTCTCCCACCATCTCCAGTTGTGGTTCAGTTCTTGCATAGGCATCTTTACCCATCTGCACACCTCTGTTAGAGGAAGTTAGTCATGTTTTTTTTCCCTTTCTCTCAGCACATGTTTCTTTTCTGCATAACAAGTTTGGCATCCGTAACGCCTGTTGACTTTCTTCCCTTTTACTTTTATCTCAAACTACTTTGTATTTTAATTATTTAGAAGAGTACATGAAAAAGTGATATTAAAGCCCACTTGTGTGAAAGGAAGTGAAAGAGACTGTTGGAATGGAATATCAGGAAGTCATAGAGCTTGGATGTGAACTTGTCCTGGCTGGAGGGAGAGGACATGGAACTCCATCACACCTAAATGTCACTGTAGAATTTCTTTCGTTTTAAAGCTTAGTGAAAAGCAAAATAATAGCTGCAGACCTATCAGCGTTAATTACCAAATGTTGCAGTACTTAAAGAAGACGTGACTGTAGGTTAAGAGAGTACGAAAGGCTTTGTGTATCATCAGATGACTGCTTTGCTTGCGTAAGCTGTTTAGCAAATGATATGTGTACAGAAAGTGAACTCCTTTTTGCAACATCATAATTTAGATTTCTTGTGGCCAGCACTGCCAGGGAGTGTGTTTGAATTAGAAGTGTTTTCATGCACTGGAGTTAAGTAACGTGAGCATCTTGGGCTTTCTGAGTCTTGGTTTTGTATACTTTTCCCAGAGGTTTGATTTTGTAGAACAACATTGAGTCATTCTCCTACCCGGACATCGTTTTGAGTTGCTAGAAGCAAATGAGTGAGTAGTTCTTCTACATCTAAGGGAAGGTAACAGCCAAGACTGCCTTTCAGAGGGAAAACACATGCTTGTGCTGTGTGTCTCAGTGCCATTTGAGCCTGATGAATGCCTGCAGTGCAACATAAACAAGTTTCTCTCTGCAGCATTGTTCCTGTGTGAGGTCTCCAGTTCAGAGGTGTGCAGTCTTACTACTGAGAAAGGAAATCAATGTGACTGCAGTTGTGGGACTCATCTGTTAAGAAGACCCCACCCCAAGGCAGTGTTATCTTGCCTACCTTTCAGCTGGTTATTGCTACGCATCTCTACCTGTTCAGTTTTGCTCTCCAGTCTCATTGTCATGCTGCCTTAGCTCAAATGGCCTTCCCAGGTGCCTCACTTGACGCGTGTATTGGATGTATGGATAGGTGGTTTGCTGTCTCTCAGTAGTGCTGCAGTGACTCACAAAGATGCAGTAACTACTGGGTATTTTCCCACATTGTGGACTTTGTTGATTGTGTTGTGTGTGTCCTGTTTATATCTCGTTCTCTTATTTTGCTTTGTTGGAAACCAGCTTGCAGAAAGACTTTGATTCTAAGCGGGTTTATTTAGGGCAGTGGGGGACAGGCAGGAGGATTGATGCTTTCCACAAATATTAGTTTAAAGAGGTAATCGAGGCAATTAGAACAGATCTAATATTTAAGAACTGTGTGTTTGATGAAACATCTCTATTGTTTTTCATCAGCCACAGCTGTTGTAACTGTTATCTCTATGGAGGCAGATCTCTTGTTATGTAGGTCACATCAAGGGAAAATAGCAGCTGAGCACTTGGAGTATTGTAGAGGAAAACGCAATGAAGGCGCTGCGTGTGTTTCCATTGAAGTGTTTTGAAACAGCGTGGAGTTGTATTCTTTAGCAGTTTGTATCCAGACGTGTTGTGAGAGTGGAAAGGAAGTAAACGTGTGCCATTATCCTTTACTATCTAAATTAAGGCAGTCTTCTGACACCCAAATTCACCAAGGGAGTCTTTCCTTTCATTTATGATATTTATAGGTTTTGTAGCTTGAAATATGCTGCTTCCCTTGAACTTAAATAATAAACAGCTTTCATCCCCGCCGTTCGCCCCATCCTCACCATTTTGGTGGGGGAGGGGAGACAGTAACAGCTTCTGCTTCTTCAATTGTGAAGCTGTCTGATGCAGTTGCCTTGCAGATGATGTGAGTGACTACATGCGCTTCCTGATTATTTTTTCTCACATCCTTTCTGTTTCCCGTTGGTAAAAAAGAGAGAAGCTTCTTGAAGAGGAAGAATGATAATTCAGAAAAAAAAATAAGTAAGGGCACTATGGCAGGTTTTTCTGAGAGAAATAATGTGTTTGATATAACGTGGGAAGCAAACGTAATTTGTAAGGACTTGCATGTTGTATTAGCATGCCACATTCTCCCATGGTGCAGACAAAAGGAATCATTTTGAAATCTTCTGATAGAAAGAGACGCTCTGGTGTGCTGAATGGTAGTCGTAGTCAGAGACTTGCTTTGATACAGGAACCTTCAAGTGCGTGGTAACTTGAAAACTGAGCTTTGTTGCTACTCCCTGAGAGCAGATCGGCACTCGGCTCAGTACACAGAGTTTGATCTTCGTTGGTGCAATTAGAAATAATGAAACAGATGAGGTTCCCGGACTGCTTTATGTTAAGGGGGATAATTATAGTGCTTCATGGTATTAATGTATATTTCTAATGCAGTGTTTGTATGAGGATAATTAATACAGAATGTCGGTAGACTTACATTTAAAAGACTGGCATTCTGGGAATGTTATCCGCACCACTGAACCTCTGTAACTAACAGGTTTTATTGGTCTCTGTGTATCTTTAATACATTGGAACGGCACAGATATTGAATTCTGGACTTTTAATGGTAGTGGTTTTATCTTGTGACTAGCAGTCTGACAGTAATCGGGCACAGCTTCTTTTGCACATGGATGAATTTATGTAGAGTACAAATTGCCATGGTATTTCTGCTTTTAGTATGGAACTTGTCCAGAGACGTAGTCAGGAAGAGGATGTATGACTGAGCTTTTCCAGAGCCCTTCTAAAGCTTTCTTCTGATCTCTGTATGCTGTTTGCTGTATTTTAACCACTCATCTTAGGCCTCTGTATTCTCTATAGGTTCAGGTATAATTCTGTGGGTAGTAAAGAGCGGAAGGGAAGCTAGTAAGCTTAGATCATTTTGATTTCTGAATTTGAATTTTACATCTAGAACAAATAGCATATGAGAATATATGTATATCTAAGGCCTGTGTCATTCCTATCTGTGATTTTCTTTAATATAGTAAATAGCACCTCTTAATTTTGAGAAACCTTTCTGCGTGCAGTTGACGCTTACTAGCTTACAGTCTTCTAACTGCAACTTTATTGTTGGCGGATGCAAATTTCTCTTAACCATATTCCTATGCCTCATTTTGCTTCCTGTCTTTGTTATTTTTAATCTCTTTCAGTGAAGGCTCATGTTAGTGTCTAAATTGTTCTGAGAAGTGATATCAGTGTAAACATCAAAAATGTAAGAGTTGCAGAAGGTCTGGTGTCAGGCAAATACGTATATATTTACCAACGTGTAAAGGGAGGAAATGCGTTGATTATCTTGTAAAGTGTAAATCATTGCCTTATCAAAGCTGACTTATGGAACTGGGGGTTAGATATAATTCTTTGCAAATCTGCTGTGTATCGTATGTTGGGCAGTGAATAAAGGACTTCAGCTACAACATCCCTTGATTCACGTAGGTGCAGGGGAAGGGATTAATGCATTAATTTGAAGCATTAAATTGAAGAAGTCTGGCACAAATTTTCTTGGTTAGTTGTTGGCAGGAGTAAGGAAGCCTAGCCATCTTTAATCTAAGCCTTCGTCATTTAATGGCTGTTGCACCTCTGAGGGAATAACTGGTGTTGCTTGAGTACTGATGCAGTGTTTGTGATATAAGGGAAAAACATTTCACTGCATGTTATAACTGATCAGAACTTGGAAAAGTGAACGATTCTTCCACTAAAATTATGCTTTGTATCTTGAATAACATCGTAGTTCTAGTAGTGCTGTAGTATATAGTAGTATCAAGTTTTACATGACTTAATGTAGGCAATTAAAAGAATTAAGCTTTTTTTCTTGCTTTCTAATGAAATGTTATTACTCAAGCAGACAAATCAAGGCCACCTTCATCAAGCCCTTCCAGTATTATTCGCCGGACTTCCTCATTGGATACACTTGCGGCTCCCTACCTTGCTGGACAGTGGCCTCGTGATAATCATGGACAAGCTGTTCCATGTATGAGAGACAAAGCCACACAGGTTGGTCAGATTTATTTTATGTCGGTGTATCTAAGTATAAGGATAGTGTTTAGATGTCAGAAGGTTATTCCCTTCTAAACATTCACTTTGGCTTTCTTGTTTACAAGCTCCTGTTTGTTTTCAAGTTGCAGAAATTGTACCTTTGCAATGATGTATTTGAGTTATTTACATTCTCTAAGAAAAGACCATGAACTGTGATACATTTTATGAGTTCCACTTTATTATCTCAGAGAGGCATTTGTGCATTGCACATCTGCTGAGGGAGTTGGGCTTGTTTAGCTTGGGGAAAGTACAGGGAAGACCTGATAGCAGCTTTCCAGCACTTAAATGCAGCTTATAAGCAGGAGGGAAATCAACTTTTTACGCGGGTTGACAGGACAAGGGGGAATGGTTTTAAACTAGAGGAGAGAAGATTTAGATTATTTGTTGGGGGTATTTTTCACTGAGAGGATGGCGTAGTTCTGGAACAGGCTGCCCGTAGAAGTTGATGATGCCACATCCCTAGAGGTGTTAAAGGCCAGGTTGGAAGAGATCCTGGGCAGCCTGATCTGGTGCCTGATTGAGTGGGTGGCAATGCTGCCCTCAGCAGGGGGTTGAAACTAGATGATTTTTGAGGTCCCTTCCAACTCAAGCCAGTATATGACTGTATGATCTGTTTTCTCATTGTTCTGACTGTGTGCAAGACACTGGAATGCTCTGGTGTTAAATATTTCTGCATCTTAATTTACACAAAGAAACTCAAAATGACTCCTTCTATATATGTCTGTCTCCAAACTTACTGAAAAAGCTTCTCTAGTGTCTTCATAGAAGTTACTGTAGCCTTTTCCTTGATAGACAGTTGATCCTGTGATTGCAAAAGGCCTGTAATATTCACCTGGAATGTATACACGTAGTACAGAAGCACGTGCATTGAGAAGCTGCTTCACAGAAGCGTGACTGATGCTCAAGTTTAACTGGACTGCAAAGCGTCAGAACAGTGATGTGAAATTCTCTGAAGCTGTTAAAACTTTTTGGCAAATCATACACAAGTTTTTAATACCTGTGGAATCTGTAAAGATAAACAACAATTAAGTGAAGCTCCATTACAAGGATTTGATGCTTATATTCCCCTTGTAGGGAGCTATTGCTTTATATGGTGTCTTAATCCATACAAAAGTGATTCAAGTCACTTATCAAAAATATATAAATGCATTTCCATCAGATATTGGCATTTCTTCCCTTGTTCTCTGGGTGCATTTGGGCACTGCATTTCCCAATCTTAAAGTGAAAGAAAGAGCCAACTATCCCAAGTTTTTAATCCCTAAGCCTAAAGCATGGTTTCAACAATGGGTCTCCACCAGTTCCAAAGAATATAAGAGAATGATAGTTGGAAGATAAACTGGCAACATCTGGGACATACTTGAGATTGAGCCCGCCTTGTGTTTGGTAACAATAACAGAAAAATAGCTGTAATAGATTTGTGTGCTGTGTACTCAAACATGTTGGATGTTGAGCAGATGTCTACAGTGTTGGTTGTTACCATATGGCTTTCTTGACATTTAGTGCAAAAAACTAAAGTCTGCACAACCCAAAAACTATAGTTCAGTAGTAAAGGAAGGTGGTTTGTAGAGGAGTAAGTCTACCTGGATAAGGTGGAAATAGAAACTGGTGAAAAAAGGAGAGCTGAAAAACAGGTTTTCTTTGTGGTGAAAATGAACAGGAAAAATGATTGGAAGACTGGGCTAAAAGGGTAAGCAAATCATAGTAGGAGGGGAAGGATAAAGGAAGGCGTATGGTATATATAGGAAATTGCTATTCATGTCTAGCTGTTAAAAGACACCATCAAACAGCAGAACCAAATCTGCATGGAGTCCTAACTTTATTTTCACACTTGATTTCTTAGGATAGCACTTTTTTCAAAATAATTATTTCTATACTACTGCCAAAGTGTTTGCAATATTCAGTTCATTTCTTTTCGCTTAGTTTCATTTTAACTTGAATTGTGGTTGGTTTTTTTATTATATGTATTTTTTTCAGCTAGATTAGATACATTTTTCTTTTTTTTTCCCTTCTAATTCTGTCACACCTAACTGATATATATATTGGGTTATTTATATATATATATTTATATATTTTATATATTTTATATATATTGTATATTATATATATATATATATTATGTATTATATATTATATATATATATATTTATATATTTTATATTATTTTATATATAATATTTATATATATATATAAAAGGAAAGTGTCACTTACAACATATCTTGGGTCCAGTGGGTAGTTTCAGGAAGTCTGATGTGTCCCTCATTTCACCTACTTCTTAGGTCCAGTGTGTCTGATGTGGCTTTTCTAGGAGTGACTTACTGAATTCTGACTAACATCACAGTCTGAGTTCTGGTAACACAGGTGGTGTGTCAGTATGTAACAGATGGATGTATGCACCCAATTCTATACCCATTTACAAGTGTTTGGAAATTACTGTTCAAAATACAACACTTACTTCAAAACTCTTGTGTTTCAGATTGTGTGTGAAGGGAATGACTGCATGTACCTTCATGTTCTGATCAAAAGAAGAATGTCACATCTGGGAAAAACTGATAGCTAAAGCTTATTTCTATGTGTACAATATGGCTGTGGTGTTGGAACTGCCTTTCAGCAGTATGGTCACTGAGTGAGATTAATGCATTTAGATTTCAGAACTTCAGGGAGTATGAATTGGATCAACTAAATAAAAGATTTTCAACTTGAGTGAGTAAGGGATCTTGATTCTGCAGGTTTATGGCATTGAAAGTAGAGTCATCCAGGAGGCAGGCTGGGAGGAGGCAGCAATTAGCAACATACTTTGGACTTGAAAACCTTTCTAGATGCCCGTAGGTCATAGTTGGCAAAACGTAGAAGAGATGAAGTAAGGACTGTCTACACAGCAGCCCGTACAGTTTTCAACTACTTTTGGTGAAACCCATCTGTAAAAACCAGACTGAATTATGTACATGTAGAATGTTACCGACTGATGAGTATGGTATTACTGAGCTCCTTAGGTTCTGGTTAGAATGTGTAGATGTGGGTATTGTTTTAAACACTGCTGGAGCAGGTATTTCTAAGTCTTTTTCTTTAAGTTGGACCAGTTTGGCTTTGCCTGTAGTTGTTTGAATTAAAGCTACATCATCAAAGTACAGCTTAACGTGAGACAGTAGTTTTGGATTTTTTGAATTCTTAAAAAAGTACTTGGAAACCGAAACTCTGTAGTTGGAATTAAGACAACTTTATTAAGTTCTAGTATTTGTAAATAATAATAATAATTTTAAATAAAATCAGCTTTAAGCTTATTTCTCCCCCTAATTCTGGAATGGGCAGAAGAATGTTGTGAATGATAACAAGTAACCAGCATGTGCAGTATGTTAATAGCTTAGAGAACCAGAAATCTCCCTCGGTGTCTATTGGTCTGTGTTTCTTGAAAATACGTATTAAAAAAAAAAAGTATGATGAAGATATAGGAGATCTACTAAAATAATATTATATTTCTGCCTGATTAATTTATAGGAAGCCTTTCAATTTCTTATTTTTGCTCTAAAAATATTTCTAACCGGGTTTTGAGGATGAGCAGGAAAGAGACCTTTAGCCCTTTAAAATGAGTCAGACATTAACGTATGAAGTGTGTTGAATCTTAAGCCAAAGTATCCAATATAAACTAAACTAAAGACTGATTAGAATGTTAATGAGATTCCTGTAGACAAGAGTCATAGTTAGACTGAGTTGGCCAAAACTAATTGTTCCAGGAGATAGAGGATAGGCTGACAGTCCAGATTTAGGTTTGGGAATTGGCTACGTGGGGACTGTTGCTAGCATGGTGAGTTCATAAATCAGATTTATCAGTCGTTCTCTTTTAATCTTAGTTTCTGAAGTTTGAAAGTGTTTATGGAATGTGAAAGACTGAAAGGATGATCTTGTGGTGAAGATGAGGGATTTCTGAAAACTGTGGTTTCTAACTTTGCTATGAAGTAGGAATTTCCAAGCAACTGCACTAACTTCATTATTCAGATTCATCCTGGTTAGTTTTTGAGTTGGAATGGAGAAGATGAAAAATTACTGATTGTGGAGGTTTCATGTACGTGACACTTATACCATAGCTGAAGTTGATGGGTATTGTAACCTGTATGTTTGGAGTTAGCCTTCCATTTTCCCTGCAAAATAGGGATTAGTACTACATCTTCAAAGCCCTTGCAAGTTTATGTTCTCAGAATAGATGAGGTAAGTAAAGTTAGCTTGCAAGCTGTTAATCTCAAACATAAAAACAACTGTTGCAGGTGATGTTAAGGCTTTTCACTGCTGTATGTTTGCATCTTTATGAAATGTAGATAGCCTTGTTGATTTAGTGAAAATAACTTTGTATTATGTTGGTTGGTTTCTCTTTGACCTGAGACAGCTATGAACCTGAAGCTCTTTGAGGCCTTAATGAATTCCCTTCTTTGCAGTAGCTCTGCTGGTGCTCAGAAAAGGTGCCTGCTTTTTTCTCAATCTTTTGAGCTTGAAAATGGGTTTGAAGGCGTGCTGGTGCAGGCTTTTCCAACTTTTAAACTAATCTTGGAGATACATCAGAAATCACAAGGTCAGCATCTGTGTAGGAAATAACACCCACATGTTGCACTGGTTGCTATTGGTTCTTCAGAGCATTATAGCAGCTTGTGGTACATCTGGCTGTTCATACCACCTTATCAATTTTCAGTCAAGTAGGAAGGGAACTAGCATATATTCCTGCACTGGGAAGTAGGTCTGAAAGCTTATAAATAGATAGTTTTACTCGAAATGTTCATATTTTACTTATCAGAAAGGCTCCTAGTCAGTGACAGCTTTTTGCTCATAGCTCGAAATCTAGCAAATTTTAACACTGTTCTCTCTTGTAATTTTTCTTTGTATATTCTTCCAGAAAATAGAAATTTTGTATGTAAACATACAAAAATAATCTTGTAATCTTCTTGCTGCAGACTGAAAGTGCCTGGGCTGAAGAATATTTGGAAAAGAAGAGAAGCTCCCACAAACGTTCAGCATCATGGGGCAGCACAGAACAACTCAAGGAGGTCAGGAGTGCTATTATTTGAGATACATTTGAATAAGCTTGTTGCTGGCATGCACTGTTAACGTCAATTTTCAGGAAGGTGTGAATATTGTTCTGCTTTATTGTATAATCCTTGGGCGTGATAGAAAGTGAAATTTATCTATTCTTGTGATACCGATTTCTTATAGAAATGTTAACCATTAAAATGTTTAAGCTGAAGAGAGCAAGAGTATTATTTTCAGATAATATTCTTTGTCAGAGGAAGAAATCCAGCAGTGGCCTAACTGCTTTGTGTATTTCAAGTACTTTCATTAAATCTCCAGAGATATCTGCTGGGATTGAGTTGAAATGGTAAATAACATGTTAATTTTGTTAAGAACTTGAGTCTAGTTTTGTGCTGCCAGTAATTATGAGAGTTGTGGTAGTAAAGAATCTTAGCTAGGTATTAGAATAAATTAATGAAAGTCTGTATAGTGGAACGTATCTGGAAATCTAATGTGATTTTTTTCTTAATTAGATTGCAAAATTGCGTCAGCAGTTGCAGAGAAGCAAACATAGCAGCAGACACCATCGGGATAAAGAAAGACACTCTCCTTTTCATGGTAACCATGCAGCCATTAACCATAGTCAGGTAAGTCTGTGCTCTGGATATATTGCGTAGGTACTGCTATTTTAGCTTAAAGCAAACTTAGAAATACCATGTGCTTTATATATGTTGTAGCTATAGTTGAATTCTATCAAGTAGATCCGTTTCCTCTGAATGCATGGAGCAGAAGGGGTCCCAGATCTGTTTGTTATCTGGCTAGGCTAGTTCTGGACTCAGTCTGTAAATTTCAGATAGTTAGATCTTTCCATAAAGAACACTGTACTCTGCAGCCTCCAAAAAAGAATGGATGGGTAAGTTTAATCTGAAACCAAGGATATCTTTTTATTTTTTTAATTAAGAGTTGCTGAAACAATTATGAATTTGCATGTGGAATAAATACAGCATGGAGCAAATTAGCAGTAAAATTTTATTGGCTGAAAGTTGTAGTTAGTGCTGATAACGTTTTGTCTTGACTGTAGCACTTGTTTAATCCTGTAACGAACAGCTTTAGAGAACTGGCCTGACAAACAACTGTTAAACTTCTAAAATGTACTTTATTAAGTGTTTGTGCTCCTAATGGATGCATTCAGCCTTTATAAGACTTACTTTCTGCAGTTCATTACGCTTTGAGACTTCAAGTGGTAATCATTTAAAAAATTGAGATGATTGCACCATACCACATGTTTGGTATGCAGTTGCAGTTTTATGTTGAGGCTGTTACTGAGATCACGTTCACAGAGAGGTAATGTTTCCAGCTGAGTGGGAAGGCAAGAGGTGAAAAGGAGGGGGAGGAAATGCCTGCCCTTATACACACAAATCATTATTTGCAGTCTGTTTTGCTTGAGTAAATTTAAAGAAAAAAATCAATAGAGTTTGATTAATTTTTCCACACTGATATCTCCTTAATGTTTATTTAAGATGCAACATTTTTTTTACAGTTAAAAAAAGAACAAGTATTTCATAATTGTCTTGCAAGTCAATGTGGAACTGTTAATATTGCAAATTTAGAAAATGCTTCAGCTTTGAAGCTCCTATTTGAACTTAATATTCCCAATGGCTCCTAAAATGCAGTCAGTGTTGTGTTGTTTTTTTGTTTTTTGTTTTTTTTTTAATAAATACAGTAATTTGTTGACTGTTTCCCTTCTGTCCTTCCATCCTTCCAGAAATAATTTAGGTCTAGGAAGGAAACTGTTGCAACATCTGTGTAAGTACAGGTACTCACCCGTTCTAATGAAGGATGAAATGAGAAGGGAGAACCACATGTACATTCTTGAGGATCCAGGTTCTTTTGTGATTAGGAATTGGGTACCTGAGAGAACTTGTGATGCTCTAATGCTGGAAATAAAAATAACAGTGTTTTGAATTTCTAGTGCTGTTCTGAATTCCTAGTTTGTATAAAAATCAATAATGCTTTATTTCTGAGATCTTAAATTATTTCTGCTGTATTTCATTTACTATAGAGTCGTGAATTTTCAAGACATGAGTGCACCTTGAATTCAGTTTGTTATTAGGTCAAATTCTGTGCTGCTAGGAAGTATTTTATTGAGAATTTTTTTTTACTGATATATTTTTGACATAATTTAAAAATTTGTTCTTCAAACACTTTAAATTTCCATACAAAAACTTTTCTCCTCTTTCATGTAGTGAACTGTTAGCCTGTAAATTAGAATGGAGAACAGTTTGAATTTGAAACAAGCTGTCTAGTACAAATTCCTACATTTAGATCCAGTTTGCTTAAGTATGGATGCATTAGAGCATATTGCTAAACTTAGGGATTACAGTGACTCAAGGCTGAACATCACAAAATGGTGAAAGAAATGAGCCAATTCCTAGCTAGGAATTTCTGAGGTCCTTCATGATAATTGGTGAGAGGCTTCAAAGCGTGGATGTGTAGACAGCATATATATGCATATGTTATATATGCAGTGTGTTATGTGTGCGTATATAATACAGAATACTGGGTGGTCACAGTACTTAATGTAGGTAATTTATCAAAATCTGTGAAATTTCTTTGGATACTTGTTTTACACTCGTTAAGAGAACTGAAACATTTTAACAACAGTAACAAAATTAAAACCAAGAGACATTTGTGTAGGCATTTCAGTACAGTGTAGAATTAACATGTTATCTGACGGATTTCTCTTGGTAGTTCACCATAAACTTCAGATTACTAAGCTATTACCATTTTAATATAAGTGTATTTCATGCTGTTTTAATATTGAAAATGAACAGTGATGCTTTTACTTTGGAAAAATACAAAATAAAAATTCTCAATACAAAAAATTTTGGTGTCATAATGACACTGTTCATAACATTTTATCTTCTGCATGGAGAGGCTTTTTGCATTCTACCAAAATTTAAAGTATGTAAATTAAATATTGCAAAATGGATAATTAGTTTTTGGCCTTGTGAAATAGACTATAAAATACAAACTGACATATTGCAACTTTTCCAGCATTGTGTTGAAGAGTAAACCATTGTTTCCTTTGGTAAATTTTGTGCCAGTGTCATGAGCTACTTGCAAAGGGTTGAATTTACAGAAAGCTTCAGAAAGGGTGGACTAAGGGTTGCATTAATGGCATTTAGAGGTATTTTATAAGTTAGAGTGAAAGATCTGTAACTGCAGGCTTGAAGGCTGAAATTTGTCAGCTTTCTGGTTCTTTTCTAGAGAACTACTAAACTGGGATTTCTGGCAGCAGGTCATTTCCTTTGGCTTTTGTGGAAAAGATTACGTAGAAGCACTTGAAGTTAGTTATTCGTTATTAGAATATTTAGATTTTATATTTCCTGCTTCAAGGAGAATTGCAGTTGTTGACTCTTTAGGGTCATGTAAAGATTTCTAAGCTCAACTAATGGAATTCCTGATATGAATGAGAAACAGTACTAGAGGGAAGTCTCTTTGTTAGTCTCTTCAGAGACTGTGTGAACTCTGTGTCCTGTTGGAAATAACTCTCCAAGTTAAAACTAAATGTAGTAGTTCTGGTCAGTCTATTTCATCTCTTTTCGCTATTAATAATCATTGAAGTTTTCCCACAATTTCTTCAGCTTTAACAATGTTTTTAAGAAAACCATACTGTTTTTATGGAATGAGCTTGTTAGCTATTTCTATCCCTCTACTCAGAATTAGGAAATAATTAGTGGCAAACAAGAATTTACTAGCTTTGTTTTTTGTGGGTTTTTTTTCCAAAAACAATTGAATGGGTTTTGGTTTTTCTTGTGGTATGTAGTTGTTCTTTTTCCTTAATGCCAACAGTTTTTCATACTGCCTCTTTTTATAAGAAGTGGTGTTTGCAGAACAGTTGCCTCCTCCTCAGGTCATCTCAGTATGCTTCTGAGGATGCTGGATTTTCAATTTATTACATGATAGCAAATCTATTTAAAAAAAAAAAAAAAAAAAGAGCCAAATCAGTGGGGTCCTCCTTTATTCTCAATGTTAAAGTAATACAGACACTAAAATGGAAATGCTAGATAGAAGAATAAATCAATTAGGTTTTTCAAAATAATACCTATTTTCTTGGTGTTCTTGGCTGAAGTTATGCTGTTACTTGATGATGTTAAGCCCCCTTCTTTCACATTTCTGGGAAGTGTGTTTCCTTATTAGTTGTACCAGTAGGTTGATCCTAACTGGCCATTAATACTGAGATCAATTGCACCTAGTTTGCAGTGGATTTTCTGTTTATTTCAGCCTTAGCATCTTACATAGGTAGGATGTTACATTCTTAAGTGGAATGTGATGCATTCAAACACAGTGTAGTTTGATGTTAATATACAGAAGTATCAAAAACCCTTGGATTTTATATGAAGTTCTGAAAAAATTGGAAGAGTTTAGATCATTTTTCTGAAACACGTGTTTGGATGTGTTTAGATTTGTCACCCATATTTGGTATTTCCTGGGCTCATGCTGTCTCTGTAGGTTTCAGAACTCTTCTGCACCAAGACTTCTGGGCAGAATTCTGATGTGTGAGCGCTGTAGTTATTATATCTTTATTTGGCACCTCGTTTTGTTTTGTGCATTCCAAAATCTGCTGATGAATAGTCGATAACATTCTCTAGCTGTATGTCACAGGCTAGCTCTATGCAGACACTTGTTGAAGGCAGTGTTTCTACAATATAGATTCCTGTTCTGAGGCTGGTTGTTCCAGTCCCATAACAATGCCTCCTTCTGCTTTCACCTTTCAGGTTACCAAGTCACCTTTGTCATGTACAGAATATTATTTCTTTTGCAAGTAAAATGTGGTGTATCAAACTGTAATAAGGTATTTTTGGACAATTAGTGCTTTTTATGTTGAAATCTTCATATAGTGCTGTGGCTTTAGGATTTTCTGTGGTAGATGATCGCAATTAAGTGATAAAGACGTTCGACTTTCTACTTGTTGACATCAATTTCTCATAGGATCATCCAAATGAAATAAATGGTTGCACAATCAGTGTTTATTAGTGTCTCAACTTGTGCTGATTTACCTGCATTATGAATATATATTAACCTGTATTAGTTCACCTGACAGTTGATCCAAGACTTTGTTTGGAACACAATAAATATGGTTGGAAATTTTTTGTGCTCATATCCAGTGGTTTCTGTTTTCTCTTTGGGCAAGGCTTTTCAAAGTCTTTCCAAGTTTGGCTACTCTAATGATGTAGAGATTTTGTTGGCATCAACTGTGAGTCATGAAAATTTCCTGAGAATAAAAGTTTTTGCAGCCCTTATGCAAGTTCCTTTTTATAGCTATCCTAATGTTTAAAGCAAAGCCAATATAATTAGTAAACATTTCCCATCTTAGGGATCTATCAGTGTGAGAATGTCTCCATTGTGGTACATATCTGCATTTAGAACTCTGTTGTTTGCACTCATTTTTCTGAAGTAGTCATTGTCTTCCTGCCATGCAAATTTTACATGCTTTTTGTCATGTCACAATGGTTTGGTGTGTGTTACTTAGAGGGAAGGGGAGGGAGAAGGCTTTGAAAACCAGATGAGAATCTGAATGCTTTATCTTGAACATCATTCAACCTGTTCTGAGTTACCAGAAAGCGTTCTTGGGGGATGAATCAAGACTTATTTAAGTCTTCCAGTAAATAATCAGGAAGGTAGTAACTCATGGTACAAGTGAATTCTGTGTATTAAGGAGCTTAACAATGGCATAATTTTAGGTGTTCATATGTGATGTGTGTTGGAGCATGGTGGAAAGCTTTTATGACTACTGCAATGAGTACCTTAAAAACTAAGTGCAGTAATTATCTAAAAATAACAGATGATCCTTTTATTTGGAGCCAGAGAAGAACAAGATTCTGCCAGTGTTTCTTAAATTTGGTGAGAAGTTGGGAAGGTTAAATGTAATTTCCTAAATATTTGTACTTCTACCAAACTCATAGATCAGTCTTGCATATATTAAGAAAAAAAAAAAAGCTTACATTGTAATAAGTCTCTACTAGCATCATAAAGCTCCTAAACTTTGTACTGTAAAAGCCAACAGTACTTTCAAATGTATTGAATTGCACAGAACTTCATTTTGGTTGCTTTGCAATATGTATGTTTACAACTGTTCATTCAATATCTTTGTTATTGAAACAATAGCACATGCTGTATGTAATACATTGAGATGGTGTTCCACAATTCTGCATGTAAGGTAGATAAAACCAGTAAAGTAATTCATGTTTAAAAACAAAATTACAGTAGTTTTTCATTAGTAGGCCACAGTACAGTATACTCTATTTGATCAGTGTTTTGAGAAATCTAGGATTGTACTTTCTCTCTGAGGACTGACTGATCTGAACTAAAGGGGAGACTAAGTGGCTATTTCAGGTTTTCATTTCTCGTTCAGTGAAGTCTTGCATTTGAGAATAATTTTTCCTCCTGCATTTGTCATGGTACTGTATGTGACAGCAGACTTTAATTTCATTAAAATTGTGTTTTAATCACAAGTAATAGATCCAGAGGGGGAAGTGAAATTATGCTACAGCTCACATCAAAAGGGACGGAAATATCTTTTAAAGGTGTCAAAATTATTTACGTGTCAATGTTCACTGCTTGATTTTTCACTTGCAAAGCAACGTAGAGCTGAAGGCAGACCGTATTAAAAGAAGTTCTGAGACTAAACAGTTGAAAGATTTTTCTGCTAGAAACGAGAGCAAAAATTAGGATGTCTGCGTCTTCATTTAAGTTACACATTTTAACACCGTTGCTGTAGTTTTGTTTTAAGTCCTTCGTACAAGGGAGTAGATATGTTCTATACAAAGGTTCACTTCCAAGTAGCAGTAAATGTCTTCAGTAAATCTGTGTTACTCTGTCTTGCTGTTCAGGCTCCAATCCCGAAGAGTGCTCTTGTTCCTGTGATACCTATTGCCAAATCAACGGGATCACGATTCCGAAACAGTGTAGAAGGACTAAATCAAGAAATTGAGATAATAATTAAGGAGACTGGAGACAAAGAAGAACAGCTTGTTGTATGTATCTGCTGCCGAGATTTCTCTCTATCGTTATTTTTACTTTGAAGTTATAACCTTTATTTTGCACCATTTTTTAATTTTAAAATTGCCTGGATTTTTGCTTTGCTAATAAATATATTTGGAAAATCTCATGGAAAGCAAAAAGAAGAATTAAAACTTGATTCTGAACATTTTTCTTTTGTGATGTCTGTGATGTAGTTGTTTCCAGTAAAATAAGAAACTTCAACTAATGAGCTAATGAGATAAACAGATAAAAAGTCTGTTTTTAAAGCTTCTGTAGTAACTTTCTCTTCCCTTAGCCAGCACTAAAGGAGTGTCTCCATCCCAGCTGAAGCAACTTAGTAATTTTTGATTTTATTTTTAGGTTCTGTTTTTTTTTTTACAGATAAAGTATGTAATACTGTAATTTCTGATAAAATATCAGAAATAAGGGCTATGAATGCAATTAAGGGACTAGAACAATATTTTGTATGAAGAGAGATTGAGAGAACTGAGACTGTTAAGACTGGAGAAAATTTGGAAACCGTATAAGTGTATGTAAATATCAGATGGGGAAGAGGGAGCAAAACTCTTCTCAGTAGTTCCCACTAACGGGACAAGAGGCAGTAGGCACAGATTAAAATACATGAAAACACAAGAAAATAATAGGTTATTTTAGCATGAGGGTGCTCAAAACTGGAACAGGTTGTCCAATACAGGTTGTGGAGTTGATGTCTGTGGAGACACTCAAAATCTGACTGGACGCTATTCTGAGCAGCCTACTCTAGTTGATTCTGCTTGAACAGGACATTTGGACTAGGTATTTCAGGAAGTCCCATCCAGCCTCAAGATTTCTTTCATTCTGTGAAGTCTTGAAAATCATTATGCTTAGTTTGAAAACCTTACTTGTTTTGTCCTTAGTTGGAGTCTTAGGTAACAAACAAAATTTTCAGTTTAATGAAACAGGAAAAAAAAACTTTTAACACTGTGGATTTAACAAAGTAACTAACCAGATGAGAGCAGCCATTTAATGCCCTTTATTTTTAACAGCCTCAAGATATTCCAGATGGGCACCGAGCACCTCCTCCATTGATTCAGCGTAGCAGTAGTACTCGCAGCATTGATACCCAAACACCTGGTGGAGCAGAGAGGGGTAGTAACAACAGCAGCCGTTCCCAGTCAGTATCTCCAACCTCGTTTCTTACCATCTGTAATGAGAGCAGTGAGGAAAGTCCTTGTTCAACGGAAGATCTTATTGATTCCAGAGATAAAGGTACTGTGTAACTTTAAACATTCAACAGTGCTAAACTTTAACTCCTCTCTATGTAGGTGAATGCATAATAACAATTTCCCCCAAGTGTGGAGAAGTGGTAGGACTTGTTCTTTGTAAATGATCTAGTTGTTCCAGATGGTTTTAAATACTGTGCACACATCTGGTCTTCCATAATTGATTATGGATAGATAACTGAGCACTGTGCTTCCCAAAAAAGTTTTTCTTTAAATAATTTATTCGTCAAGTACTTTAAGCAAGCTAGGGATGCAAGAATGTACAGCGATGAGTGGAACAGGAAAATAGATTAGTCCTGGTGGTTCTGTCAGATTATTTTGATGATCCAAGACAAAATAAGCACTATCCAACTTTTCATACATGGACCTCTAAAAGTTTGATTATTTGTTTATTTTTAGTAGAAGCCTTCTGAGATAGAGCAACATAAACATATTGTGTGTGTGTTTGTTTGTTTTTTCTCTTTGTTTTTTAAGGCATATGACTCTGTTCAATGCTTTTGGCTAGACAGTGACAGTACAGGGCCATAGACTCAGGTCAGCAGTTACAAACTGAAAATGACCAGGAATAAACAGTTTGAGTTATCTGCATATGATGTAAGGAAACGGGAAGGAGGAAAGGGGTTGACACAAGGAAGCTTATTTGCAAATGAAGATTTGAAAATGAATTAAAATTTTTCTTAATTTTATAACATTGATAAAAAAAAAATGATTTCATTCCATTTAGGGGATGTTTTTGGATAGTGATTATAGCTTTTATAGTAATTTTTATACTGTGATGTATTTAAATAATCACTTACTCTGTTCCTGCAGAGAATGGGAATAATTCTCCCTTGCCAAAATATGCTACCTCACCAAAACCCAACAACAGCTACATGTTCAAACGGGAACCACCAGAGGGCTGTGAAAAGGTGAAAGTCTTTGAGGAAAGCTTGTAAGTTGATCTATACTACATAATAAATAACAGTCAATGTTTAGAGTTACTCATATGTTTATTGATTTTCATATCAGATAATAATTATTAACCCATTTACTAAAACTGCTAATAACATGGTCTCTGTTTTGTGTGACTGTGTACTGGTATATATGTGAGTATTACATTACCAGGACTGTGTTTTAAAATCAAAACTTTGGCATATGGTCTGGGAGGGGCGGAGGTGGAGGGAGTTGTTCAAAGATAACTTTATAAGCTGGTAGCTTAGGACTCTGCTGCATTGACTTGTCCATTCTTAATTTTCAGTTTTCTCTGAAAAAATAACTTACATGCTAGCTCTTTGGAAAATTAAGGGTGAGCTTTATTCCAAACATCTTTTTATGGCAAAACCAGCTCAGCTTGAGAAGATAACTTGGCAATTATCACAGAATTATAGAATCACAGAATGGCCAGGGTTGGAAGGGACCTCAAGGATCATGAATCTCCAACCCCCACATGCAGGGCCAACAACCTCCTCGTTTAATGCTAGACCAGGCTGCACAGGGCCCCATCCAA